CTTCCGATCACCCCAACGAGTATTCAAGAACTTACAAACTCATCTGTCATCTGTGGCAGCACGAAAAGCTCTCCAATCCATGAACGAGATCTGTTCACAAGAACATAAAAGAGTCAGGTTACCGGTTAACGGAACTTGGGCAAAATCCATCATACGGCTCAAGAAACAAAGGTTAATAAACTACGTTTCCGGTGATTATAACATGACAAATTTAACTGCAATGAACTTCTCTGGAGGAAAAAAGACGTGGAAAGATTGGAACATATAAACTATAAAGGGTCGTCTACAAGTACTATATACATGAACATTACTAACCTAATGGTCAAAACATTAAGTTTTACTTTAAGTGGAAGGCCTTTATATGGACTGAGATTCAGAATACAATGTTCTTACCTATGGAAATGTGGTGTTAATGATCATACACGAAAGTGTGTCATACAAAAAAAGAAGAGAGAGGCAAAGAACAGCAATGGCATTCGTTCAAATGCAAACATGACACAAAAATTATAAAACGAAAGTAAACTGCTAAAGAACATCGACAATACATTTCAGCGATCAAGTCTTATACGTCTGTGCCCATAAGAAGACACCAATCTGGACAACATTGCAAGGGCGGGCCAAGATAAAGAAACACAGCCCTCAATCTCGTGAGCAAGAACTCAATTCAGCTATTAAGCAGCAACAAGAAAAACTTGGTTTTGTTATTTGGGGGTTCAAACACTTACTGGAAAGTTTGATGCTGCAAAGAGACAGTGTTCGAAACTTCCTAAACCTATTCAAGGGACTACAACCATGCGGGAAATGCAGATACAACAGAGAATAACCCTACTGGAGGATAGAGAGAAGTCTTCAGTTCAGAAAGGAACTAGTGGAAGGATATACCTACGAACTACATTCAATCAGAGACCGACTTTTCGTACTTGGCGATTCATCAAATTATCGAGATCATCCTAACCAATGATCGCTTGCAAAATGCTCGGACTTGCTACACCAGATCCGAAGCCAAAACGATCTATTTTACCAATTTGCGTAAGATCCCAGTTCCGAATACGCACCTATTGAATTTGTCCTCAGTGGAATTTTCGTCTCTGAGGCTGCCGATCAGTGGCCAATCTGTAAATCCAGTAAACCTGCGGAATCGCAAAACGCGAAGAGATTTATACTAGATCCGTGTCGCGGAAACCAAAACGAAGTCGAACGAGGAGCATAAAAAATACGAAGAGGAACACGTAAAGTACCAAAGCGACGACATGAGCTGCTGCGAGAAGAACCACCAACGCCGGAACCAGATCCAGAAACCATGGCCGCAGTTGCTGTTCCTTCGCCATTGTTGAAGAAAGAGGAAAACAGCTTCTCGTTCTCAAACGAGTTACACCGGAAGTGCTCCTCCGGAGACGAGAAGCAACGGACAGTGAGAGAGAATTGCCGTCAACTGAAACAAATCTAGAGAAATTATGACCTCCTGTTTGGGCATAGGACTTACCCTATCCTTATTCCAGTTAAATCAAATTCTAATCAAGGACAGTGTGTGTGTATACGCGATTATCCATAGATGGTAGTAGGAGAGCAGTCTTTATGTTTGCCACGTGTCGTATAATCCACGTGTCGAGATTATTGTGTATATACATCTTTTGGGAGAGAAGATTGATTAATTGTTCAGGGTGACACCTTTGTTTCCGTTCTTCCCTTCCTCCTAACACCTAGCGATTCCCTTTATCTCATACGCTTCTCTTCTTCCCTGTCTCTCTCTAGAATCGTCACTTCTCTCTCGTTCAGCCTCCTCCTCCATGGCGTTTTCAGGTACCTCATTTTTTTTTCTTTGGTTACTCCTCGTTAACTCTATAATCTGCGACGATGATCGCTAGCGACGTGTGTTTGTTGAGTTCGACTCTCCTATTTTCTCGATTTCAGGTTGCTTTTGAGAGTGTTGGCGCGTGGTTCATGTCGATCGGGTCGTTTTTTTGCTGTTTCGAAGCTTAGTTTTTGAACAAAATGGGACATCTGGATTTTGCATCGCGATATACGAACCAGATGCAGATTGCTGGCACCCCATCAAGCGGAGGGGGTCTCAGGTAATTTATTTATACTAAATTTTACTTCTTTTTTTTAGTTTCATCTGAATTTTGGTGTGCGTTTGAGTTTATTCGTTGTTCGTTACAGAAGTACAAGTTATTCAGCTACATGTTTGATCCATTTCGTGATTACCTTGTTAATTTTGGGAGTCATGATTCTGGGATAGCGTTTTTTTTCATGTCTATTTGCTCTGCGAAACGTTTTGATTTGTGTTTTGTATCTGGTGGCTTTTTGTTAGTTGAAGCAAAAGCCGTTCGAGTTTTTTTGCATGGATTCAGTGTTAATGAGACAATCTCTCCATTCCGGATATTCTCTTCAATTCCAAAACTCCTGCAATCCTGGAACAAACTGTTTCTGTTGTTATTATTGTCCATATCAAATCTTCATTATTTTGTTAAGTCTTGATGTATATGTTGACATCTCAGTAAACAGAGGAAATACAGAATTCTTTGTGATACCTTTTACTCATATTCAGGTCCTTGAGCCTATCTGTTTGATCCATCTGATCATAGATGCTGTTTATTCCTGTTTTGTTTCTTCTCCCTGGTATCATGTTCTAAGAGGTGTGCCGTGTTTAATGTTATTTGAGTTGAAGATGACACATTGTGCCCATAATTCAATTACAGCCAGAATGGAAAATTCAGCTATGGGTATGAAGCTCTGCTGGGAAAAGATCATCAACGGAAGACTTTTTACGGGACAAGGATCGGCGGAATTGATGGAGAAATGTTGGTTTATTTGGCTTTTTTTATTGTATTCTCCCCGGCATTGTCTCCCAGTAACTTGGACAAATACCATCTGCTCAGAAATTGGCTTATGACCGATCATAGATGATCAATCATTTCCTCTCTGAAATTGGCCTATACATTAGGGTTTATATTAGAAACATGGCCTAATTGATCATATGTTAGTGACCCTTTTGCAGGCCATGGCAGAACAAGAGCAGCCGAATATGTGAAGCAGAATCTTTTCAGTAATCTGATTAGCCACCCAAAGTTCATCTCTGACACCAAATCGGCTATAGGTTGCCATTGTTAACCTGAATGAACTTCTTTTCGATAATCCTTTACTGATGTCTCCATTCTCATATAATTTCTGCTTCTCCTCCGTCCAGCTGACGCATACAACCACACGGACTCGGAACTTCTGAAGTCAGAGAATACTCAAAGCAGAGATGCTGGTTCAACCGCATCAACTTGTTGGCGATCGTTTACTTGTTGCAAATGTTGGTGATTCCATAGCCGTTATCTGCAGGGGTGGCAATGGTAATTTATTTAAAAAAGAGATGTGTTCCTATTTTCAGTTCCATTAGAATAAGATTGGAAGCTTGAGATTCTTATACCAATTGATAAGAGTTCGATCCCTCAACTCATGGGCGCAGCGAACCAATGACTCTATTGAGTCATTAACCGATCCATGCAGATTATACGCATGACTTCTTGTGATTTTCAGTTGAAAGGAGTCTGATTTTTGCAGCCATTGCTGTGTCAAGGGACCACAAACCTGACCAAAGTGATGAGCGTGAACGGATTGAGAATGCTGGTGGGTTTATCAAGTGGGCAGGTAACAAGAATTGTTGGGCTTTCGGCATCTGAATTCGCCCTTTTCTTTCTTCTCTCACTTTGGAGCCATTCTGCCATTTTTTATTAAATAGGAACTTGGAGAATTGGAGGTGTTCTTGCAGTTTCTTGTGCTTTTGGTGATCGGCTACTGAAGCAGTATGTTGTTGCTGATCCAGAAATTAAGGTATATCATCATGAAACCTAAATCTGATCCATATCAAAACAAGACAATTAGCACTATTATATCCTGTCTGATCCTGAACAAAAATAATGTGTCATTTCTTCAATACATCTGGGTTTTCACATCATTTCTTCTAACCTCTTTCTTCACTTACCCTTTTACTGATTGTCTTATATTTTATCTTCATGGCGATCATCGGAGTTCAATTCCCTTCTGAGTTCATGAATCCTTTTGCAATATCTGTTCCGTTTTATATAAAACAGGAATACGTGGATGAAATATTTTGCTAAGAAATAGACGTGAATTGTGTGACATTTCTCTTTGTCATGTAATGTTGGAGGAAGCAGTCTCAATGGTTAAACAAATTGAAGAAGTTGAGGCGGCGGCAAAGAAGCTGGTAGCAGAAGCAATACAAAGAGGAAGTGCTGATAACATCACGTATGTCGTAGTGCGTTTTCTGGAGAGTAAAACGCTAAACGCAACCGATAATGCCTCCTCAAGTCATACAAGCTCGGCCGTCGAAGCCAATCTGGAGAGGATCGCAATTCACAGCGATTCAGACTGTAGTAGCTCGGCCACGGGACTTAAGGGCAGATCGCTATTTGCAGCGACGCATACCTCAGAATCTATGCTGATGATGCTGCTAATCAAGGGCAGATCGCAATTCACAGTGATTAAGACCGCAGAATTGTCACGGTATGCACCAATAAGAATCTTATGCCCAATAAGAATCTAGGCCGAAGATGCACCTAATCAAGGGCTGATGGCAATTCACAGCTATTCAGACCGCAGAATCTCGACCAAAGATGCACCTAATCAAAGGCACGTCGCGATTCAAATCTTAACAGCTCGGCCAAGGGATATAAGCAAGCAAGGAACGCACTTTGCACTTTGCAGCGGCTCAGACCGCAACATCTCCTCATGCGCAACTAATCAAACGCTGATCCCAGCTCACACTCACAGCAACTTAGACCAGATCTTTGCAGCTAATCAAAAGGCAGTCGCAGTTCGCAGCGGCTCAGCCGGTGAAACAAATCAAACGCCAAACGCTGGTCGCAGCGAGTCTGGACGCAGGAGCTCAACCATCTCCACTAATCAAGAGAAAAAGCTTGCGTCCTCTATTGAGAGGACGGTTGAGAGATAGATGACGACATACTAGAGATCATCATAATCTTAATGGTGGTGTTATTTTTAATCATTTTGTTTACATATAATCATAGTGTTTAACCTTTTTTTAATCTTTGACTAATTTGGTTTATTGCTCATGTAAAGCGTTTTTTCCCTTCGCGATTTTCGTGTTTCTTTTTAAATGTAGATTATATTAATCGAAACTTTTCAACGTTTTGTACCGATTGATTTCTATATAGATTGACTTTTTAAAATTAAAATTAAAGCAAAATGCAAAACCTCAACATTATTACAAAATAGTACATACACACAAACACACATATACATGTATATACAAAATTGCAAATACGAATTACTATGAAACTGACACCACCTTAATCTCCCATCCACTTACCCTACTAAACCCATCGACATGGAAAGAGAAAACATAAGTCAACGTTACTGCAACGTGAACACCAAAACGACCAAAGCCACGTGTCCGTCCGGAGTCTTAGAACGTTGGCACGACGCTGAAACCGCCGTAGAAAACGCAGCGTTCTGCGTCTGTCTCGACCTCAGACCGCTTAGCGAACCTCCCCTTGATCCGAGGTCTCATCTCCGCGTAGGCTTTCCTCGACGCATACCTTATCGTCTTCTCGAACTTCCTGTTCTTCCTCTTCTCTCTGTACCTCAAAACCCTCGCCTCTCTCTCGGCCGGAGATAGCGGAACCGGCCGCTGGCTTCCCGAATCGCTGTTAGCTGCGTTTCCACCGCCAAACACGTTTGTGGCGTCTGCAGTCGCACCGCCGTCGGGTACCACTCCCACTTCCAACGACGTTGATGACACCTGAAGTCATAGTATCACGTATGTAAGATTTAAGGATTATGATTTATGTGAATTCAAAATACATATAGTACAAAAAGATACAGTCATTATTATATAGTTTTATAATGGAATATTGTTCGTATGTTTTCTTTAGTAAAATTAGCTTTTTCCGACATGTTCCTTATAATATATAGTTTAGTTCACTAATCATTTTCAGACATAGATTGCCCATTAGATCTGAACTGGATTAAACAATGGTTTCTTTTCCCTCGAGTCTTTTTCAAAAGCAATCATGGGACTAAGTTTCTGTTTTCATGTTAATCCACTGCAGCTCATTAGAATCTTAATTTCTTTTATAACCAGAAAGACCAAGAGGATGGAAGGCCAGATTCTTGGAGAGGAGGGAAAAGCGTGCACGGATACGAAAATTTTCCAGTCCTTTCCCCCTGGATTTTCTCAGCAACCAAACAGCAATGACCCAGATGAACAAGGCAACAAAATCCAGGAAATAGTGTAGTTTTGATTTAAATAATGATGTTTTCGCTTAACGATGTACCCAAAAATTCCTTTTTTTTTGTGAATCAGCAGTTCGTTTGACAAAAAAAAACATGCGTTGAAATCAAAGTTTTCTCGGATTTGCGCTCCAATTTTCTCGGAAACCAAACAGACCGAAGAAAAACAACAAAAGAGGGAAAGAAGAAAACATACGCTTTGGCTGATACAGTCGTAGCTGTAAGCATAGGCCTTAGATCCGCCGCCGGAGAAATCCAACTCGTAGCAATTCTCATTTACCGTCGGAACATGAACTCTGGAGCTCTCCATCGGAACGACGCCATCGGTACCGGAGCTATTCTGCTCCTCCGCCTCCATCTTCGGATCCACCGAACCATAATCCAGATCCAGATACGGATCCGAATCCGAGAACAGATACTGACCCGTATCCTCCTCCGCCGCAGTCGCTGCCGTCTTCGGGTTCGGCAAAAGCCACGACGCCGCCTCCTCCTCTTCCTCTCGGCCTCCGTCGGAGAAGTAGCAGTCGTCGAGGAAGTTGATTGCGGCGGCGGTGGGTTTTCCGGCGGCGGATACGGCGTCGTAGAAGGGCATGACGGGGACGCGATCGTGGCGGCGAGCGAGTGGGTTCGCCGAGTGGATGTCGCGGTCGCACGTGACGCAGAGCGTGGCCGCGTCGGCCTTGCACGTGACGTACGCGGGAGCCTGCTCGCACACCTCGCAGAGCCAGACACGCGCGTGACGCGACGCGAGTTTGTTCGGCGCGTGGACCTTCGAGTCGCAGTTCAGACACATGAACGCCGCGTCCGGACGGCAGTACAACGCTGCCGTCGCAGACTTGCACGAGTCGCAGAGCTTCGCCGCCATTTTTTCCAACCACCTCTCTCTCTCTCTCTCTCTCTCTCTCTCTCTCTCTCCCTCTCTCTCTCTCTCCTGTGTGTTGAAAGTAATGCGTGGTGGTAGTGGTGGTGGTGCTACGGCTTCACATGAGTCGTATGTGAGGAGTTCTATCCAGTGGGCCAGGAGGATCCAGTGAAATCCAATTATATATCGACACGTGGTCGAAGCTCAGCCATGTTCGTGATTTCATTGTTGGAAAAAAATGTTTCTCGTCATAAATTTCATGAAAAAAATAGTTTTTTGTCGTTTTCATGTAATAATGTTCTTCTCCCATCTCTGCTTTATCGTTACCTGTTTTGATAAAGTCGGGACCGTGGCGACACATGGCTGATGTTGCCGACAGGTTTCTATTTTTAGTCGTTAATTTTCTGAAACATGTATACGTGTCCACCGAGTACAGTCTAATGGGCCGATTATTGGGCCTAGAGTAGGCCCAATATTAAATAATGTTATTTGATTGAAATATTAGGGCCCATTATTCTGCCGACCCAGCCTGATTAAATATTTTAATGTTACGACATGAGATAGGGTAGGACCTTTTATTTCTCTTTTGTTTTTCACCAAAGCCTATTTAAGTACAATATTTTAATTATTATTATTAATAAAAAAGAGGGGGTTATGCGGTTAGGTAAGGAAATAAATGGAAGGATAAAAAATACGACAAAGCTGAGTCGCGTCGCCGCACCCATAGAGACAACTCACACCCGAACCTCTCTCCTCTCGACACGTGTGCTCCACGGTGTCACTCTCTCCCCCTGTACGTCCCCGTTCCGCGCCACCTGAAAAAGCTTCCCCGGCGGCAAGATCGATGATCGTAATCGTACTCTCATTGTACTATCTTTATCTGTTACTAAAAAAAAACGTTTTTTTCTGTGTTCATTTCAACACATACATTGATTAAAACTCCTGAGCTTCGAGAACTATTAGTTTTCGGACATTGTATTTGAACAATGTTCTAGAAACACCCAGTTCCTGAGATTTTCACAACCCATGGAAAAAAAAAACTTTTTTTCCATACATAAATGCTCTGTTTTTCGCAGATTGTTGGAACAGAGAGAAGCCGACAAAACTGTGAGCGCGAAAGCTCAGTGGTTTTCTTCTTCACCATAAGACTTTTCAGCTCCTGTCTGCGCAGGAAACCCAGTTTCCCCCTTGTGCCCCTCCTCGCCCTCCGTATTTACGATTCCGCCACTCTCCGGCGTGTCGGCCGCGATCGCAGCCGGAGTCGCCAAGAACGTGGGCTTCTCTTCCCCTGCCATGATCACCAGAATCTCCTCGTCGTACACCTTTCCCGACACTTTATCGCCGGAATCTCTCAGCCTATCGCCGTCTCCGCCGCGGCCGCGACGGCGATCGGATAGCTTCCAGGAGGAGCAAGCGAGGAGCAAGAGAGCAAACGCGATAAGACCCAGCATCGCGGCCAAACCGCCGAAGAGATACGGAACCGGAGAAAGCGATGGCAGTCCTGGTTGTGCGATAGCCGGTGCGCCTGGGAACGCTTCCTTCGCCATTGTTGTGATATTCATCGCGTTCGCGTTCACGCTAATCGGAAACTGTCGCATTATTTATAAAAAAAAAAGACTTCCCTCTTTTTTGGTTTAATTTACAGGAACTTGCAAAATCGACCAGATGAGGTTGACGAAAGGGAAGAACAGAGGAAAAAGAAAGAAAGAAAGCTAAAAGATACTTTGGGAGTAGGGCTTACTTATAGCGGCCAATCTATTATATACATATATGTGTATGTGTATGTATATGTATATATAATTTTATTTTTTTGAAATGGAAAATTAAAAACTGTCATTTCAAATTCAGCCTTTTGTGTTTCTGCTTTCATTTTGGGTTTCACGGAATTTCCATGATACGGTTGATCGATAGGGTCAGTCAGAGAGCTGTCGTATTTAGCTATGCATAATTAATTACAAATAATGTTTAATAACAGTTAGTTATATAAGCTGTAATCAAATTATATTTATATATATATATATGGATTGAGTTATGGTTAAAACCAAACGATTTACATCTCTAGTAAAGGCCCAATTTTAAAGTATTCAAGGCCCAACCATAGTAGAAGGAAAGTGCCACGTCATCGAACGGTGACGTGGCTCGTCTTCAATGGACTGGTCCGGGTCGAGGGTGTTCTCCTGCCACGTGGCCTCTACTTTTGGTGCGACGTGTTTCTCTTGTCGACAAGTTTGCCCCGCTGCTAGACCGTATTTTGCTCTCGGCTCCTCCTCGAAAATTTCCAGATTGCTCATCTTCTCTCGTCACTGCCTGGAATCCCTTTTGTTTGTTTTTTTTTTTGAGATTTCTCGTGTTTTGGATCGGAAATGAGGACTATTCTGTCGCGTTTGAGCCATTACCGATCATCTCTTCCCCAGATACGGTGAGTTTTCTACTCTGGTTCCTGTCCGAATTTCAAATCGCTCCTGTTCCCATCGTGCTCTACGTTTTCGTTTACTTGGGGTTTTTAGATTTTGGGATAATTATGGGAATAGGGAAGTTTATGCGTCTACATATATTGAGGGGTAGGATGGTACAGAAATGTGATATCTTTGGGATTTTCCTTAGATGCTTCGGAATTATATGATTTAGGGTTTCTTTTTCCAAATTTCTGTTCTACCACCTCTTGGTGTTATGAACGAGTGATTGAATAGGAGTTTTTTCATCCGGAAATTGAAATGGTGGGAACATTATGCTGATTTGTTCTTCGGAGATGTTTTCTCCCACTAAGGATTTTCTCGCGTCTTGTATACACTGGGAGCGAAGTGTGAATATCTCATTGTTCTTCTTTCCTGTTCTTTTGGATTATGCTGCATCAGCTTTGTTTTCGCCTCGAGTTGCCGGAGGTATCTGTCAACAGATTCTAACAAAGTTGATGAACCCTTCAAAGTTGAAGAAGCAGAGACTGTACACGTGCCACCACCGCCAACCGAGAAGGTAAGAGTTTTAGGGGGCTTTTGCGGTAAGTAGCCGTTTTATCCTGTAATGTCATTGTACTTCTGATCATTTACTTATTAGTTGCTTTTATCAGTTACTTGTGCTGGGAGGAAATGGTTTTGTCGGCTCACATGTGTGTAAAGAAGCTTTAGATCGCGGCATATCTGTCTCCAGCCTAAGCAGGTACTATGAATGTAGGGCATCAATCTCCCGTGATATTGCGTTTAATGTTTCTCAGATTCCGAGGGATTCCAACTGATCTGATATACATATTAATCTGAGGTTGGGTTCTAACAGTTTTCTCGGGTATTAGGTCGGGTAGGTCATCTCTTCAGGAGTCATGGGCTACGAGTGTAACATGGCATCAAGGTATTGTTGTCTGTCTCCTCAATGAGTTATGCAGGATACTATCCTCCTATGTATTCTATTAATATTATTACTATTTTTTCAGGAAATCTTCTTTCACCCGAGTCTTGGAAAGATGCTCTTGATGGGGTGACTTATGTGGTATGTGTTTTCTCAGTTGTCATGATCACTTGTGGAACTTTGATGACTACTTTAGTTTCAATGTTTCATGTTTGAAGAAGCATAATCTTGGCAAATTTTAAAATTTTCACTAAAATTCAAAATGGATCATTGCAGATCTCTTGCGTTGGTGGGTTTGGTTCAAACTCGTATATGTATAAGATTAACGGCACTGCAAACATCAATGCGATTAGAGCTGCCTCAGAAAAAGGTACTAGTGGTTCTAGTATTTAAATACACAGAGAACGAAATTGTCTTTTCTTAGCCTTCTAGCGTTATTCCAGGATGTCTAGTTGGTACATATAGGCCACAATGGGTCCAGATTTGATGGAGCACATTACTTTTAGTTTGACCTGAGGGTTGGTTGAACGGTATACCTTGTACCTTAGGAAGTGTTAGATTTAGGGTTTGATATCATCCTATATACAGTATCAATTTCTTGATTTCACTTCCGTGGACCTAAGGTTCCACGTGCGAAGCAGGGTTCCGGGAATTAGTTAGGGTACAAGTCTTTTTTGGACATCATGTTTTTTGGGGAAAATGTTCTTTAGTTTATGTTGTATTTGAAACAATTTCTAGCCACTCTAATTCTATTTCCTTTTGATGCGCCTGTGTCCACTAGGTGTGAAAAGATTTGTCTATATCTCTGCTGCTGACTTCGGATTCGCAAACTACCTATTGAGGGGATACTATGAGGGGAAGGTGTTATTATACTTCTCATTCTCGGTCACATTTCAAGGACGATAGGTGAACGTTCCTATTTTACTTGCTCATTCCCAGGACGGTCCATCTTAGACTTCTGTCTTGTTTGTTGCAGAGAGCTGCTGAGACAGAGGTGCTTACAAGATTTCCTTATGCAGGTGAGTTTGCATGTTATAATTTGGAAAACTCTTTGATATTTATTTGACCCATCAGATCGATTTCTGAGTTTTGCCAACTGAGATTTGAGCAATACAATCTGCAGGGGTGATCTTGCGGCCTGGTTTTATACACGGAACCCGCAACGTTGGGAGCGTGAAGATCCCATTGAGCTTAGTCGGGTCGCCAATGGAGATGGTAATACTTCCCCTCGTCTCTCTGTATGTTGTCTTCATGCCTTGTCTTGTCCCAACACAAAAATGCATGTTAACATGTACAAAAAAGCAAGGTGATTCATGTAATGCGAGAAAATCAGGGAGTAATTTCCAATGTGATAAGCGAAAAATGGTTGCAGGTTCTACAACAAGCGAAACCTTTGAGCCAGCTCCCGCTCGTGGGGCCGTTGTTCACGCCTCCTGTGAATGTAACATCGGTGGCAAAGGTCGCCGTGAGGGCAGCCACGGATCCTGTCTTCCCTCCGGGGATTGTGGATGTTTACGGGATTCAACGACACAGCCAGCAGAAATCGAGATAAGTGGTGGTCTTAACAAAATTCCTCATATCTGTTTTTACATTCACCAGTTTCAGTTCCCGCTGAGGATGGAGGAAAATCTGTCTGCTCGGTTCTTTTCTTTTGTCTAATAAATTTCCACTTTGCCATTTAGTCCACTATTGGAAAAAAGAATGGTTTTTTATATATAATATTATATTATTGAGAGTTGAAACCGTGCATTTGTGGATCTCTTGCAATTGCAAAACTTTCCCGACTCGGCCTTCAGCCAAAGTCATAATGCTTGTAGTTTCTGAAACGTGATGGGTTTCGATATAAATGAATTTTCTAATAGATGGGTTTCGATATAAATGAATTTTCTAATAGAGAAAGAGATGGAGAATCATTGGATTTTTCATTATTCAACATATAACATTATAATATTTATAGCAGAAAACAAAATCATAAAATATCTTATTTAATAAATATAAATATCTAAAATATAGAAATAAAACCAAATCTAAATATTACGTAATCTTCTCAAATCTTCTTCATATCTCTTTATACGCCCCCTCAAACTCAAGGAGATGAGAAACAATTGCTTGAGGTTGAATTCTCAATAACGGGATTTGACAATCGAACCTAGGAACTGGTGGATTGTTGGCGGATCTGAAAAAGTCCGGTGAAGCAGAAGCGTGGTGCACATGCACGGTATTGTGGTATAGTGCGACAGCAATGTCGGCAGCGCAAAAGGCGCGATGGTTTAGCGGTTATGCCGGAAAAAGAAAATAAATTGTGCAAATGCACGCGGCTAAAGCCGAAAAAAGAAAAGAAAAAAAAGAAGATGGCACAAATGTGCGGATCAACGATCGGAGTATTCCAATCGAAGAGGCTAAAAGCCGGATTCAAAGGCTGATGTGGCACGGATGTGCGGCGCATATGCGCGAGTTGGGTTGCACGACAATGAGGTTGGCAAAGAGAAAAAAAAAAGTAGCACATCGGTTAGGGTTGACAGTGATAAACACCGTCGTCAGGAAAAAAATAGAAAAAAAATGAATGGAAGACGATATTCAAGTTGATGATACTATTGGAGTTAGTATATCATCGTCATCTTCATCGTCGTTTTCGGATTCAACGAACATCGTTGATATAAAAAAAATATATTTAGAACAGAAACCGAAGCTCTGATACCATAATAGAGAAAGAGATGGAGAATCATTGGATTTCTCATTATTCAACATATAACATTACAATATTTATAGCAGAAAACAAAATCATAAAATATCTTATTTAATAAATATAAATATCTAAAATATAGAAATAAAACCAAATCTAAATATTACGTAATCTTCTCAAATTTTCTTCATATCTCTTTATATCTCCATAAGTGGCGCGGAGCTTAGGACGTAGTAAGTAACGTACCATAAGGACCAAATCGTAAGCCGCATGTATTGCTTCGATCCCTTTGTTGACGTCATCAATGGCGTGACCCACTGCCTCATCATCGATCACGTTGGTTCTGTTATCTTCCACAAGTAGAATCTTCGGTTTAGATCCTCCTCGAGTCCTCGCGGACGTGTTTCCCGCGTGTTCGCCTCTTGCCTTTTAGATGAAACCGAGGGTTCGGTCTCCAACCATGGCTCCTCCAACCTTCTTTCAAATTTAATATTTTCTACAAGGTGTTTAATTTGAGATTTTCGCTAATTTCTAATTGAATCATAACCTTTTAAAGAAAAAGGAACACTGCTAAACCCATTTCATTACGAAAAAACTTACCAATTTTCTTAATTAATTTTCAAAATAAAATATTAGCATCAGTATATCTGCCGGTATGCAAAATACTGGCATCTTTCTTTCTTTCTGTTGCATCTTTTCAATGTTTCGGAAATTTGGACGGTTGGACCGATGTCATGTGGAGCAAAACCTTATGGCATATGATTCTTAATGTAAATATTTAAATCGTGGGTCCAGACCAGAAAAGCTACTGCATTTAATTTGTAACCCAACAACAAAACATTAGAAGATTAGTAACCCAGTTGTTGAAATCGGTAAAACACCGTGACAATGCATCTATTTACCTGCACGAGTGGATTCCGCAGAGGATAGGAAAATGCTGTATTTTGGCACCTGTGTATATTATACGGAAAAAAAAAAAGCTGAGCTGTATCATATTTGGTTATAATCCAGAGGTTCGTGACAATTATCAAAGCACAAACCTAAAAAAAACCTTCAACTATTACATTTACACACAAAAAATCTTCTATTTAAAATTAATTATAAACAACCATCAACTATTAATTTGGAGCAAAAAAGAACATCAATTATGTAAATTATTTAAAACTAATCTTACACTTTAAATTTGTTATAAAAAACCATCAATGATTAATTTTAATAAAAAAACATTATCTATCTAAATTATTCAAAACATATAATGTTTTATATTTATTATAAAAATCTATTAAAGTTGGATAGAAAATATACATAAATTATATAATACTAAAAATCACAATAAAAAATAATATTTATTTAAATTTATCATATTGTAACATTTTAATATTTCAATGGTTGCAAACTATTAATTTGATTTTTTTTATAACAATTAATTTTTTCGTAGATTTCTATAATATTTGTAATAAAAAAATCATAAACTATTTGAATTTACAAAAAATATTTCATTCTAAATATAAAAATCTATAGCAAATAAAATATACTCAATTTACAATATTCAATGTAAGAATTACCATATTTTTATTTTATTTTCGAATATATATATTATCTCTTATATTTACAACCAATAAAATATACACAATTTACCACATCTAAAATATTATTATATGATAAAATTTTAAATATAATATTTACAATAATAAAATATACTCAATTTTAAGTATAAAATTTGTATATTATTATATATAGATTGATGTTTATAATATTTATATAAACATTAAATATTAAAACATTATATCTTTTTGTACTTCTAGAATTATTTCTATATATTTTCTATTTAAATTTTATAGATTTTTATAATAAATGTAAAACATTATATTTTTTTGAGTAATTTAGATAGTTGATAATTTTTTATAACAAATATAAAGTGAAAAATTGATTTTAAACAATTTATATAGTTTATGGTCTTTGTTGCTCCAAATTAATAGTTGATGTTTTTTTTATAAGTAATTTTAAGTAGAAAGTTTTTTTTTAGTGTAAGTGTGAAAGTTGAATGTTATTTTTTAGGTTTGTCCCTTAACATTAATAACCACTTGGTTTTAATGAAGAAAACCATCAGGAAACAGAAGAAAAGGCAACATATTCTCCATGCTGGCTTGTGGCTTCTTCACGGAGAACACAACGGCGGTAAGAGCTTTTTTCTTTTCAGGTGGGAGTCCTCTGTGGAAACATTTGCTCAATTGCTTGTGGCAAGTTCAACACAATCTCTGCGTATGCTGCCCATTAAAAAAAAATAAAACAAGTGATTTATACGATGAAATTCGAAACGGGATAACGGTGCTTCGGGACTCTCCTATTCAGTCATTACCTAACACAAAAGCACAAGTGACTCGCTGACCGTTTAAAACTCACAATCAACGGCTGTTCCTATCCAACAAGCTGATTTCAACTAACTAAAGAAGAATCAGCAGTTTTCCCCTTTGTTTTATATTTACCCTCTAATCGAATGGCTTGTCACATCTCTAATTCCGTGTACATGAGGCCCATTCTAAATCACACCAGAGAGTAGTGACTTAATTACCCGAAGAGTGTGTGTGTGTGTATATATATAGTTTTTAAAGAGATAGACTACCTTCTGGTAAAGCCAAGGTCCGTAAAGCATCCTCGGCAAAGGATAAACGTGCGGGAATTGCTTGACTTCCGACTTTCCCAGTTCCAGAGATTGCACACCGTTTCTTGAGCTGATGTATCGGCCACACCAGAACCCTCACTTTTGTTGGAAGTTCGGACAGCAGATCTCCATACCTCAGACTCGCCATCACCTTGCTTCAAACGAAAAACACATGATTTACCACTTGATTCAAATGTAAAAAAAACATTATTGTTGTTAAATGGGCAATCCTGGTGATACACACATAGGACAGCTGAAAGGCATAAAGTGCTTTCATGCATATATACTCGATCCAAGTGAGGAAAAAAAAGAGCACCAAGACAAAATCTTTACCCAACAAGGACTTGTCAATACTCAATAGCGTTACTGAATCCAGTTATTTACCGGCATTATATTACCTAATACCTGAATTATTGTACATTTAAGAGACCGCGACTTTAAGTTCAGTATCCTGTATGCATGTTTTACAATATAACTTTATTCTCATGTGACAATACAAAATATAGATCAAGATCATCTAATATTCTACAACTTCATTATGTACTACAACCTAGGCTTTCATAAAGCAAATATTAGGATATCGCTTCTAGACTAAAGGATAAAGCTCGTATTTAGAATGCTAATCTATCAAGTTTATACAAAAGCACAGATTTACCAACCAGTCGCAATCATCTAATATGAATTCAACCATGTGGTAAGGAAGACTATGATAAAGCTCCCCAATCTGATTTCCATAGAGCTCCTTGATAAGTCGAACCTATAAGAAAACAAGAAAAAACATCTCAGCTCTTAAGTCTTAACTGGACAAGTTATCATAGGACTCCTAACATTTGAGTGTAAATTGCATGATAACATCAATCACTAAATTTACAGATATGTAATATATGCATGGACGGAGGTCAGTATCATATGGTATCTCCTCCAAAACCCTGCAATTAAAGCCAACGGATACCCACCATACTGTCTCTGATGGTGAAAATTCTAAGTTTATCAAATGACAGAAATCCATCTCAATACCCTAGCAGTTAGATTTCTTACCGTACCTAAAATACCTTACTTGCATTGTCTACTTCTTACTCCAAGTTAACAAGTCCCATGAGTCATGACTTTTTTCAGTTTCAACTTTATTTACAAGTAACCGTTAATGCATTTCTACAGAACAACACATTAAACAAGAAAAATAGCAGGCCAACAATTGAACTGCTAAACCAGCTAGCCTGATCTGGTTTTCATAATACTGCTCATAATCATGAATAATGATGAATATCATGAATTCCAGACCATTGAAATACAGACCTGTTCCCTCCTATCCACGTATGCTTGCAGAAGTTCTCCAACATTATCTATGAATTTCTGGAAGCAAGTAATTAAAATACAGACCTGAAGATCAGAAACAACACTAACACATAACAGGCTAATTGGGACAACCTCCAGCAACCAAACTTACCTTAGCATTGGAAGAAAGAAGATCATTTTCTAAGTCTCGTAGTGGCAAAAAGAAAGGAATTGTGTGCTCAAGGACAGTCATCTTTTCCAGAAATGATTTGCTTTCAAGCACACAATGGTATACCTCGTAAGGTTCTCCTACACAGTGAAGATTAGGAAAGAGTACTTATTACCTACTGGGAAACAAATCAAACCTTTAGAAAGAGGCTACTCCAACCATTTCATAGAAACACAGAGACAATTTTTTGCCTCCCAACTTTATTTTTCTGCCTATAGGTATCACTGATAAATACGAAATTAACTTCTTTTAAAAAACTACCCTTTAATAAGATATGACAAAGCAATACGTTAGAGACACCTAGGAGAAAACATTTATCTTTAGGTAGACACATTAAATATCATTAACTGTAAATAGTTCTAGCATTTGCAAAATGTATGGGGCTGAAAAAAAACATGTGATCCATGATTTGTGATACCTGCAAAAGATGTTTCATACTGTATTCCAATTCTTGCCCCTTCTAGACAACAGATCACCTGTTTAAACATAAACATGAAAGATAAATAAGAAATGCCATGTCACTATATCAGTCAGCACGTCCAAACTCCAAGATCATTAGGTCATGTATAGACTAGTCGGTACATGTTTTGAAATCAAGAACTCAGAAACCCGACTTTTAATTGAAACTCATTATGCAACTCTTGTTCCTTTACAACTGAGAAGTGCTTTAAGAATAAAGGATAATCAATAACTCCCTAGTTATAAGCTCAAGAAAATAATATGAACCCTATCCTTAAGATATAGCACATGTTAAGTTAAATTTTCTTCAGCAAACCAAGTGGTTAATTGGTTATACGAGGTAAATTCTGGTACAGCTATATGGATTGGGCTACTCTTCTACCTTAGGGGAGAAGGTCCCTCTCATCCCGTTCCATGTAGTAGCACGCTCAATTTGAATACTAAAGAAAAATTCACAGATTGAGAACAAAAAGTAATAACAAAGGGGGTCACTTGAGGAAAACTCATGCAAACGATCATGGTACAGCCTGGCCTACTTAGACAATGCAAAGGTAGAACAATACTACAAACCTTAGTACAAGCAAATCAAGTCTTTGTAGTCTTCTGAGTCTGAGAGACATGGGAATTACCTTATTCCCCACTCTATAAGTTACACGCTCTTCAGAATGAGAAATTGGTCCAAGACTCGCATCTCCATTATTTGCCTTTTTTTCAGCCTCCATATGAACCTTACCATTTTGGAAAAACAAAATAAGCAAAAACAATAACTAGGTAAAAAAATTATAAGATGCAGCGTAAATTTTTTTATCAGAATAACAACACTCATAGACTACGAGTCCTTGTACAAGTGTCTAAATAAAACCACCACACCAGGATTTCTAGACACCTCTATTTCAAGAATAGAAGGCAGAGGAGGTCATACCCGTTCCCTCAATGTAGCCAGCAAGCCATCATTCCACTCATCCCCATCTAAGCAAACTTCTGCAGAGGAGAGAAGAAAACAAAACATCTGATTAAGTAGAAATAATGATGAAATTGTAGCAAAAGAAACAAAAAAAACACACGACACATACAATCTAGGCGTAAGCACCTAAATAAGTAGACATACTGATGAAATTATAGCACAACTGCACAACAAACAAAAAACACAACCACGCATAAGGTGTAACCATGATCTGTGACTGATGTGAATGCAACTATGTCAATTCACACCCACCTTGAGTTTGGGATGCCCGTGCAGCTTCAAATTCTTTGTTTAGTCGATCAAATATCGTCTTATCAGAATCCCTAATATCAATGACCAAAAATTCCAAAGTCACTTAGCAATGACCTAGATATCAACCACAATTTGAAATATGATACCTAGAAAGGCGCTCTGCCAGTTCTCCATGTCTCTTGAGAAGATTTGAGACTGCAAAAAGAGCAGAATACAACTTTAGCAAAGAACAAGTAACCATACCGGCAATAAATAAGAAATAAGATCTGATATAGAAGAAAAGACGTTACATCTTGCTCGTGTAGTATCCAGTCGGGTATCTTCCTCAGGCAAAAGAATCTGTAGTAGCAAAAATGGATGTTATGAAAAAACAGTTGTTTCCATATTCTAATTGAAAAGAGCAACAAGGATTCATATGTGACTTGCCATTTCTCCCATCTCTGCAGAAAGCGGTGTGTTGTTCCAGATACTGCCAAACAACAAGAATCTAAATAACCAGTTAGATAGCACAACGTATTCCAGTTCTTTCTAAGTAAAAGTAATGCACAAAATCCAATGGGATTATCCGACGAAACTTAGACCTAATTTTCCATGACATGTTAATGGTTCAAAACCTTTGTATCAGAAAATCTCCAAGAGGGTTAAAGACTAACTTCATTTGCATTACAAAAGCAACGAACGGGAAGAAAGGGCTCAAATTAAAAGGTCAGAAGAAAGAAACAATAAACGGAATAAGCTTATTAGCATATGCAAAAGAAAAAAAACGACCCTCACAAACCTATATAAAGGACCAACCCAATTCGTATCCCCATCTAGTGGGGTGCTGGGGAAGGGAACTCACAAACCTATATCTACCAACAAATTTTAGCAATCCTTGGACTCTTCATTCCCAGATTATAGACGAAATGGTACGTCATTCGCAATTACAATCCATCCAATACAATATAAAAGTAAACATAGCGAGCCACAGGCAATATACGCATAATTGAATAAGCAGACAACGAAGAGTTCCACGAGTCCCCATGCGTCAAACACCCTCCTAAAACAGCCAACTCCACACGAAGGATTGTCTCAGACAATGTGTGTAACACAAAATTTGCGACCAATTTTATCAAAGAGAGTTACCCACACTCGTGAAAAACTCCAGACGCTCGCAATTATGTAATCGCGAGTTTTATCCAAATCAAAACGAGACTTACACTGAAACCGAAACCCTAGAAATCTCTCCATAAAATTCGAAGCAATCGGGAACCGAATAGAAACCCAGAATCTCGCGGTGGGAATTTCAGGAACTCTCCTATTCGGGGAAAATCAGAAGGGCAGAAAAATCGAAGGGAGATGATTTCATAAAATTTGCACTATATCCAAACCTCGTTCAAAGAAGAAAAGCTTACCGGCGTCAGGGGAGAGAGAGACAGACAGAAACCTCTTCGGCCGACGCAACGCCGGAAAAACGCAAAGTTCGGTGTCGCAGAGAGAAAGGTGAATCAGGATTTGAACGGCCAAGGGAACAAGAGGAATTTTAAAAAACAAATAAAAAAGAGGACCTGTAAAGTTTCTAAGGACTTGTTTGGACTTAGGAATTAGGATATCCCAATTTTCCAATGAGTTTTTCTTTTCACCAGCTGAAAATAATAATTTTATAATTCAAATGATGATATCGATAATTACAATGAATATATAAAAAACAATTTAAGCCCTAATTTCTTTTTGGAAAAAAACTCTAAAAAATTTTAAACATGAGAGTAATATTAATTTCTAAACTTATAGAGGTGATTATTAAATTTCAAACTTGCAAAATTGAACACGTTAAATCCTGAATTTAAACTTGTTAAACGGTTCTATAATCGTCCATAGTGTTATTTGGTCAAAAAATGAGTTGACTGATCCGACGTGGCACTGCGAGGCCACTCAAAAAATTACTGCCACATCACGCGCTACGTCAGATCAGTCAACTAGTTTTTTTGACCAAATAATGCTATGAACGATTATAGAAGTGTTTAACAAATTTATGATTTAACGTATTCAATTTTGTAAGTTTAGAAATTAATAAGCAACTCTAAGTTTAGAAATTAATATTTTTTCTTTGTTTTTTTTCCACCGTGAAATAACGAAGAGAGTGAAATCGGTGTGAGGTGTGGAGAAGAAAAGCCCACTAGAAATTAGGAGCCCAAAGAGTCCCCAACTATAATAGGGTCCTTTATGTCTTATTATATATAAACAAACACCCATTATTTCACCTTTTTTATACGAAAAAAAAAATGCATCTTTGCGACTAGAAAATATTATCGGATTTTAATTTATTTAATAATTCAAGTTAGAATGTATATCTGTAAATTAAGACATATATTCTATTTGAATTCAAATTTCATAATTCTAATCGAATATCTAATATAATTAAAAAGTCATATCTATATTTATTTTAAAACATTATGAAATAAAGTTTAGTTAAAAATGATATTTATTTTTATCAAAAAAAAAAATGATATTTATTTTTTTCCTAAAAGCTGAGTTTATATATCCGAAATTTACGGATTTTAAATCTTAATATTTCAAATATTTGGTTGTAGATCCAATGTAACCTAAATAGTAAATACTACCCAACCTCTTGTCTATTACTACACGTTTTTTAATAACAAAAAAAAAATACAAAAGCGGTCCCATCAAATTATATGGTTAAACACTAACCTTAACGTTCACCTCTTCCTTTTATATAGGCGTGTTTGATGAATATCCATTACAATTGTCTCCAATATTGACCCCTACTACTTTCTTCACACAGATTTCTCATATATATATATATATAACAATCATTATCCCAACGACCCACGTCAATTTTCTTAGAACAATGGTTGAATATAATTTGTATGATAAAAAAATATTGATTAATTGTAAGAATGAAAAATTACATATGGGTACCAAGACTTCTTTTCAATCATATTGAGTTTTCATTTGAAAATAAGTATTCATTTGATTTTTTTTTTATCTTTTAAGATATATGATTAGATCGAAAACTCGGTAGACTTGCGAATTATAAAAAAAATGATGCCCGAACAGAAGTTAAAAGTATTTTATAGGCAAATTATTTTTTCCACGTATTATTGAAGTACTACCTAAAACCATAAAATGACTAAAAACACACGTGGCTATTCATTTTTCATGGTTCATCGTAGGGGTGAGCGTGGGTACTTGAAATCTGCGAGTTTTTGGGTATCCGATCTTACGGGTAGGATTGGGCATTTCGGTTCGGTTCTTCGGAACCGGACCGAACCGAATCGAATAAACGGTATTTTTTTCGATCTAAAACCGTTTTCAATTCTCGAACGGTATTATTTTTAGAGAACCAAATTTTTCTGGAACTGAACCGAACTTTAAAAAATTCCAAAAAACCGAATATTTTTAAAGAAAATCTATCTTTTTTTTAATAAAACCTAGAACCGAACCGAACCGATACCGAAAACGAACCGAACCGATACCGAAAGCAAATCGAACCGAACATAATATAAAAACCGATTGGTACCTATTTTTGCAAAACCGAAAAAACCAAACCGATCCATTCCCGTCCCCAACTCGAACCGTTTTCCGAAATGCCCACCCCTACTCACGGGTACCCTTTATATAACGAAGACGAAAACGGGTTTGATGAAACCAAAAATATGGATTGCGGATTCGAGTCTGGGTTTTATTTGAACGGCGACGGGTATCCTCGGGTACCCGGATACGAATAAAATGATAATTATATCCCTGATATTTTGATATATTTATGATAATTATTAAAAATATTTTTATATTAAATTACTAAAATACCCTTAAAGTCAACAAAAGTCAATATTTTCTAAAGAATTGGACGGATTCGAATACTCTCGGATAATCGAGTTCAGCGACGGGTATCCGAATCACGGATACTCAGATTTCACGAAAACGAAAACGAGATAATATTTTTTCAAAACCCGCAAAGACGAAGACGAAGTCCGGATACCCAAAAAACTCAGGATACCCGACTCGTGCCGAGTCTTAGTTCATCAAATTATAGATATAATTATTTTCCATCACGGAAGCGCTAGCTAGATTCCTTATCTATATACATCTCTAGGGAGTCGGTCCAAGCGTCAGCGTCGTTCTTCACACAAGACGAGGGACCTCTTCGATGTGCATCCTTAAGCTTGTAGATATTTCCCTCATTAGAAAAAAAAAAAGAATAATAATAAATGTATCGTCTCTTTTTCACATTTTCAACGAATTACGTCAACTTCTCTTTTGCATTTTGTATTATATTGCCCTAATATAGATAATATTGTTACAAAGATATATCTGTATATATATAGAGAGAGTGATATAAATATTTAATTAGACCACACCCAATTAATAATGTATCATTTCTTAACGTCTCTTTACATGCTAACGTTAGGTTATTTGCTACCTAACCATATTTTTTTTTCTTTTCTTTTTTTGAATTGAAAATTGTGATAAGACCGATCAAATGTCCGTGCGAAAACACTTTAGATTTCACAAAAGTATTAGCTAGCATGATTTCGTAAAAGTTTATAATATATTGACATAGACATTAAAAAATAAAATTTTCTTGGATTCTATATGTAAGTTCCATAGAATTTGATAAAATAATTAATGCGAGATAATGAGGCTATTCTGTGCATGAGCATATATGTAACACCCCAATTCTAGTTATATATATATATACACACACATATATATATATATTCACGTTAACGTTATATTATATCTAAAAGATAAATTATTAGTCATTTTGATGAATGCATGGTTCATGTATGGACCAAGCGCGGGAGAAGTGCCCACATAGGTAGACATATGGACTGTATGTGTAGATACACGTATGTATGTGACATCACTCTTTCGTCAACAGCGAACTACTCCTCCATTATTACAAGTCTCATATCTATCTATATAGGAGAAGAGAGGATCTTACAACTCACAAAAGGAAAAAAAATGGAGGGTTTGATGTTTGAAGCGATCAAAAGCATTTGCTTGATAGCGATGGTGAGCGTAATAGGATTAGGGTTTCGTCTGTACGGCGGAGCAGTGGCGGAGCAGCGGAGGGCACGGCGGAGATTGGAGAGGCAAGGCGTGAGGGGACCTTCTCCGGCGATTTTCCACGGCAACGCGGCGGAGATGAAGAGAATTCAGTCGGAGAACATCGTCTCCACGACTCATTCCGACATCATCGGACACGACTATACTTCTTCCATCTTTCCTTACTTCGAACACTGGCGAAAACAATACGGTCGGTTTCTCTCTTGATTTCATCTCGTACGTACGCAAATTGTTACTAGGAGTTCGCTATTAGATTTATAAGTTGATTATAAAATAAATGCACGTATATATGAATTTTTGAAGAAAGCGATTATAGGTATTTAATAATCAAGGATCACTAAATTTATTCCATCTTCTCTTCCTATGGGGGATTACTGGTATATATCTGAAATGATATTCGGTATTTAATTTGTATGTCGTCTACACATACATAATGCATATACATATAATTACGTATACGTATGTGTACGTGTATAGAAGTGTACATGGTGTTACTTTGATTTTCTCTTGTACATAGAAACAGGGTGTTAATTTAGGTCAGCTTTATAAACAGATTAGCTGATGCAACAATAGTTTATTAGGTCAGCTTTCCGAAATAAAATAAGTTTTAATTAAACGGCCCAACAAAATGATAAAACAAGTTGTACTTGGTATATAAAAAGGATAAAATACACGAAGTTGTCATAATTATTGGACCCGCAAATATATAATAATTTGCTAATTTATTAGGTATACCGTTCAATTATGGTCATAGTTTATTAAAGTTTCTAAAGTACAAAAATAGTGGTTGCTTGCTGGGTTAGAGATCCGAATGTTTCTAATACTAAATATGTTATGAGACGTCAAACGACACATCAATAATTCAAGACATTAATCAAGATAAGATAGTTTGTCCAAATGCATATAATAGGCTAGATGTTTCTCTCTCCTTTTCTCCTTTGGTTGGTGGCAATTGATGAATATGTTGTCCTCTCTCTCTCTCTCTCTATATATATATATATGTACATATATATATATATAAGGTCGTTATGAAGAGGACCATTTTCAATTGAAGTTCGATTAGACATGTTCGCAGAACATTCGCCGAGGGTCGTATTCTACTGTATCCAGCACCATATGCATTATTTCAACGGTTGGTCAAAGACCGCCTTCGAATCAACAAGCATCATGTCTTCATGATATACATACATGATACATACATACATACATATATATATATATATATATATACGATTATTTATTCCGACGTCATTCATTCTATTTCGACGGTTACAGATTCCATCATATTTAAGCTGCCACTATTTGCTGTTCGTTTTATGAGTTTTGGGATTACGTACATAATTTACTAAATAAGTTTATATCGTGTGAATATATATGTATATACGAATTAGGGAGGGTGTACACGTACTCGACGGGGTTGAGACAGCACTTGTACATGAACGACCCGGAGCTAGTGAAGGAGCTTAACGTCACCAACACGTTGAGTCTCGGTAAGGTCTCCTACGTCGCCGAGAAACTTAGGCCTATATTGGGTCGAGGCGTTATCACCTCCAATGGACCTCACTGGGCATATCAACGCCGCATCATTGCCCCCGAGTTCTTCATGAACAAAGTCAAGGTATACACACACAAATACATATATATATATATAACGTATGCAAATCCGATATTAGGGTTTTATATGATCGTGTTTTGGGTTTGGCGTGAAGGGAATGGTGGGGTTGATAGTGGAATCGACAATGCCGATGCTGAAGAGATGGGAGGAGACGATGATGGTCGCAAGCGAGGGCATGTGGAGTGAGATAAGAGTCGACGAGGAGCTTAGAGAAGTTTCAGCCGATGTGATCTCGAGGGCTTGTTTCGGAACTTCTTTCGCAAGGGGCAAAGAGATTTTCTCAAAGCTCAGGTCTCTCCAGAAGGCTGTCACTCGAAAAGGCATCCTCTTCGGTCTCGACGGTTTCAGGTAGGCAGGCTTGGGCAAACGGTTCGGTTATTTGAAAACCGAACCGAGTTCAACCGATTTATATATGAACCGAATGGAATCGATTAAAATTAAATAAATAACCGTTTGGTTATAAATTTTTGAAATCCAAAATAACCGGATCTGAATTAACCATAGATCGAATCATCCGAATAACCTTTTGCTTGTCCGTGTCTCACCGGTTAACATGCAATATGTGTATCTATATAGAAATTAGCATAATCAGGTATTGTTTTATAATTATGGTTTTTACATATAAAGTGAGGTTTTTAAATTTTTTCATCAATAATGTTTCAAAATTTGTTTCATCTGCTATCATAACCAAACCGAACTAATTAAAATTAAATAATTATTTGGTTATAAATTTTTAAAATCGGAAAATAAACGAATCCGAATTAATCATAACTAAACTTACCTGTTCGTCCACTCCTAGTTTCAGGTGATATATATATATATAAAAAAAAAAGAAGATGACAAGTTTTTATCAAATGCGTGTTTGTATACACATTCTATACATAATATAACGCAATTTGTTGCAGTGACATGGCAGTGTTTGGAAGCAAGAAATCCAAGGAACTGGGGAAAAGAGTGGAGTCTTTGATATGGGAGACTGTGCAGAGGAGAGAGAAAGAACACGTGCATGAAAAGGATCTCATGCAACTGATACTCGAAGGCGCGTGCGGTGAAGCGGGGGACACGACCGGAAACGAGATCTCTTACAAGAGTTTCGTAGTGGACAACTGCAAGAACATCTACTTCGCCGGCCATGAAACCACCGCAGTCGCCGCGTCTTGGTGCCTCATGCTTCTCGCTCTAAACCCTAACTGGCAGAATCTTATAAGAGAGGAGGTGTTCCGTACATGTGAGAATGGTATCCCTGATGCAGAATCCATCGCCCATCTCAAAACGGTATGTGTATATGCTCAAAATCTATATATTCGTGCATGCACTGCAATATTTTATGTTTTTTCATGAATAGTACATGCCTGCTTCATATGGACCGTTTTCATACCCGCATATTATTGCATCTCTACTATATATATAAAGATCCGCATGAAGCAAATGCCTATATATATATATATATGCATTGCCCATCTCAAAAAATCTATGTAGGCGTACATCTATGTTTTCATGAATAGTCCTGCTTGCTTCATATATATGGACAGTCTCATGACCACCTTGCATCTCTACCATATATATGGATTTGATTCATAAAGCATGTGAATATGTGATGACGTGATAACATAATTCTTCAAACATGTTTCAAATTATACAACAGTAGACTTTATTATATATAATGATATATTATGTTGCAATAATTAAACAGGTGACGATGGTGATACAAGAAACGTTAAGGCTGTATCCACCGGCAGCGTTTGTATCAAGAGAGGCTTTAGCGGACACACGACTGGGAAGCCTCGTCGTACCAAAGGGAGTGTGCATCTGGACACTGATCCCGACTCTTCACCGAGATCCCGAGATATGGGGAGACGATGCAAACGAGTTTAGACCCGAGAGGTTTCAAGAAGGCGTCTCTAGAGCGTGTAAACACCCTCATGCCTTCGCCCCTTTCGGCCTCGGGACAAGGCTTTGTTTGGGCAAGAACCTAGGAATGGTTGAACTCAAAGTTCTTATATCACTTCTTGTCTCGAGGTTTAGCTTCACTCTCTCTCCTTCTTATCGACATTCTCCCGTGTTTCGAATGCTCGTTGAACCACAGCACGGCGTTCTCCTCCGGGTTAGTCGGCCGAATCCTAACCTAGGAAGTTAAATCAAGTTACACAAAAAAAAAAAAAAAAAACTCTTTGGTACTACAACTTTGATATATATTAAGGTATTTTATTTTTCAATTATGAATAGCTAGGTTTTTTTGTACGAAAAAAGTTGTAAGTTGTGTGGCGTGTGGTGAAATATAGGAACTCTATTATGAAGCTGTAAAATAATTGGCGGTTTCCATTTATAAGAAAATTTTGTATTTTGTATCAAAACTCTCAATGTTTTCATTATTACACTTCACAATGTTCTCATGTTATGTTAACATACCGAGAATGACATATATCGAATTAAACTTGGACGCAAATTTTCAACACACGACTCCCGATTAATGTTTTTACTATTGATTAATTAATTCCCAATTACATGTTTACTATTTGTGAATTATTGAAATATATATATTTGATGTTAATATTGAGTTTCTATTTATATTTTAAAAATGTTAAAATTGAAATAAATATAAATATAACATTTTACAACATTAAGGTTTTTGTATATGAAACTTCGATCCTTAACAAACTTTGCATGAATTATTGTGGGGAGTAAATTTTCTAATACCTAATGGATATATGGACAATGTGTTTTGTCAAAATTGGTGTACGTACGTAGCAAGGGGTGGCCATTTTCGGGTTCGGTTATTTCGATTATAAAAAAATCATACCCAAACGGTTATATAGATTTAATCGGTTCGGTTCAGTTCGGTTTCGATTCGGTTTTTGCATAATAAAATTATGACCAAACGGTTATATTTTCCGGTTCATTCGGTTCGGTTTTAGATCGGTTCGGTTTGGTTATGATATATTTTGAAAAAAAAAATTATTAATCCTACATAAACTTCAAAATATCTATTCAAATAAATGCACAAAATAATTAATCATGTAATAAAATTATAACAAAATCTAAAAACTTCAATAATTAGGATAAAAGTTAAAAACATTACATTTTATGGTTTATTGGGCGAAATATATAAGGTTAAAAGTGAAGTATAAAAAAATAATACTAATAATAATGAGGGTAAAAATTAAAATATTAAAAAAACTCAATAACCGTTCGGTTAACCGCGGTTATTCGGTTATTAACCGAACCGAACCGAACCCGAACGGTTATTCAACGTTGTGTGTTTTTAAGCAAGTTAACTTCCTCAACCGTTCGGTTATTAAGCAAATAACCGAACCGAACCGAACCGCTGTTAGTCGGTTCGGTTCGGTTCGGTTATTCGGTTAAAATGGCCACCCCTACGTAGCACAGTATGCCCATTGTGTGTTTTTTTTGTTAAAGGTAAATCTTATAAATATAAATGTTTTAACGGTACATCTTATAAATATAAATGTTTTACGATAGGGAAGACTCAATTACAGATAGCAAAGTTCATAATACTATGGAACCAAATGAAACTCAATAGTTATACTAAAGCAGTCCTTTGCTCTTGCGAGCTTTTCCGACTAGTGTGAAATCTGTAGGATCAAAGAAGACTATGTTAACACAAGAGCGAAGATTATAATGAGAATCTTAAGCTGTAGCAACGGTGGAGGAACGAGCGCGTAGAATTCGTTGCGCTTTTACCACTAATTTTTCATCCGAATAGAAACAGAATTTTTGATAATGATGGATAGTGAGTGTGGTAGAAACTAAGTCGGTGGATGTAGGCGGAGTTGGTTGGTTGTCTTCAACAAATTCTTCCGAATTAGACATGTATTCCACCTGCTAAGAAGTATGAGATGATGATAGCGGAACCTGAGTTTGGGGAATTTGGGTGGAGGAAAGGTCTTCTTATGTTATATGCGTATCATAATAAATTGTATGTTTTATACTACTATATATGATCATAATGGAAAATAAAAAAAAAAATTGAATTTTAAAACGACATAATCCCCTAAACTCATAATTACATAAAAAAGATATGAATTTATAATAATGCCAATGCAAACTAACGTCGTTTCATGGTATTAATTTGGAACATTGAAGAATATATATGTGGAAAATTTTTAATTAGGGACTTTTTTATATATCACATGCACTTAGATTTCCGTGTTTTTTTTTATGAGATTTTTTTCTATTTATAAAAACGGTACATCACAATGATAAATTAATTGACAGAGAAAAATTAATAGGTGGTGTTGTGCGCGCTGAACCAGGCCTCATAGGTCACCACCACCAATAGAAGTGGGCCTATATTGGGCTGGGTCGTTATGAAATATATTGGGCCTAATGGGCCCATCAGAGCATCATCGCCCCCGAGTTATTCGGGAACAAAGTCGAGGTCGGTCGATATGTGATGTATTAACAAAAGAATGGAAGCCTATATATATATATAGATACAGTACATGAGAACTGTATCTAGTGTATATGTCACTAGTGTTTTTCTATAAAAAAAAATTTATTTACCCTTTTTTATAGAACTGTATTTACGTGATATTTTTTATATACAAAAAAGTTGTATCTGAATGATTTCGCGTGTATTTTAAAAAATAAAATAAAAAATAAATATAAGATAATGTGGGTGGAAACATGATTTTCCTCTTTTTATAAAGTTTGGCCAACCAAACCAACACATCCTCTAATTAAATAAAAAAAAAGTAAATGAAAAATAGAAAAGAAAGGTGCGTGTGAACATCTGACACTGATTCTCTGCCAAGACTGCCATTGAGAGAGAGAGAGAGAGAGAGAGAGAGAGAGAGAGAGAGAGAGAGAGAGAGAGAGAGCAAAACGTTGGATTTAAAAATTGAAGTGTAAAAGAGATAAGAGGAGGAAGAAGAAGAAGATGGGAGATTAGATGCTCCTTCGCTTATCTCATTGGTCCCCTCCCTCCTTTAGTTGACCCTTTTTTTTCCCCACCTTATTATAAAACTTATAATTCATTTCATTTTTTTATATCCTATAGTTTTTTGCAAATTGGGTCCTATTAAATCCATTTCATTTCATTTCATTTCATTTTTTGAACATTTGAAAAATCATGAGGCTTTAATATTTAGGATTGAACGAAATGTCACCTTGTACAAATTCCATTATCCAAAAAGTAGCTACATAATGTTTTGAAGTTAAATTACTGGAATTCAAAATTAATGTAAACAATTAAAAAATCAAATTATTAATTTTTTTGAAATAAATATTTTTTAAATAAAACCGAACCATACCAAGATCAATATCATATATAAAATTAAATAGATGCAATTACTTAAAACAAATAAAAAAACTCGAATACAAATCTGAATCTCAATTCCATTTTTTTTGAGGTGGGCACAAAAATGATTTTCTTTTTTTGGGTATTATTTGACATATACATACATATATATATATATATATATGGATGAAACTGGTGATGCCTTGAGTGACATAATACCATAAATAGATGGAAAATCCATATGGAATATTCCTTTTTATCTTTTGGGCTTGGGTTGTGACCCACCCACCATTTCATATTTAAGAATACCATACCATGTATCTTGAGGAAGTTTCCATATATATTTTACTCAAACCCTTATTTAGTATTTGGTATCTATATATCTTTACTCGTGATTAATTATGTGGATAATTTCACAAAATATTTATTTCTTTTTTTTGTTTACTATATCTTTCTTAAATCCCCAATAATATTAAACTTCTATTACTATAAACGATTTAAATATCTATAAAAAATATTGTAGAGCACGAAATTAGAACTAAATTCAAACCATGTTTGTGAATTCGGAAAGGATCTAAAAATGGAGTTTTTTTTTTTTGGAAACTTTGGATGTTGATCCTATAATCTTTTTTTGGTGGGAAGAGAGATGCTACGACCCCTAAATTTGACAATATCATTTCCATTTTTGTTATATATATATATATATATATATGGAAGTGCTTTTCTATATAAAATTACTCCGTGGTGCGACTTGTATAGTTAGGGATAGAATTATAAACATGTAAACAAACCAAATATATCTCATAAGTTTGGAAATATAGACACCTTTCAAAGTAAAAATGATAAATAACATTTTTTAGTCTATCTATGATATGCATCTTTTTTTTATTTTAATTTATTTTAAGCGCATCAATTATGTTAAATGTAATTCAAATTATTGATATTCTACAAGAATCATATAAAATAATATATCTGTTTTTGTACCTATCTGAAAAATGGTGTTGTCTTAAACACAATTTTATAGTTATTTGAATTTATTCTCCTAATCGTAGGTTTTGTATTTTCTAATTTTAGTATATCATTATATGGTTTTCTTTCCTTTATCATTTTTAACAATCGGCGTGATTATTTTGAATGAGTCATATTTTTGAGTCGTAAGTGATTTATTAATGCATAGATTATGGATCTCTCGTTTGTAAAAAAGTTGTATTTTTTACATTTTATTTTATCATATTGTGTCTAAATAAATATGAAAAAATGACTAGACAGACATTGGAATCGGCGAGAATATTATTAAATAATTCGGAATTTTTCAAGAATGCGTACCATACCAGATAATGTAAATTATTTCCATTTCTTTTTTTTGGATATAATTATTTCCATTTCTTTAAAATATACAACAGAAGCGTTATTTTACAGTTGTCCATGTCCGAAAACACGCATACGTATTGGATACGTATAGCAATACTGATTATATATATATATAATCCAGTCATCGGCTTTATCTTCTTCTTCTTCTTCTCCTCCTCTCTCTCTCTCTCTCTTCAATTCCCAATCGAAACTAAAAAAAATTCATTTTTAGAGAAAAAAAACTTATCTCTTTCTCTCCATCTACGTCGTGTGCCTTGGCGATGGAAACCGTTTGAGCACCGGAGTTCTTATCGAGTACCGATTCAGATTTCGGGCGCTTGATGAGACCGAAACCCAGAAGAGAACGCGGACGACGAAGAAGAAGAGGACAAGGGTAAACAAAAGAACCCGTGATTTCTTCGGACGAATCTGTGTGTTCCTCTCTTTGGTCCTGTTGTCTTGTTTGTGTATTCTCCCTCGGTTTTGATCTGGAGATCAGAAAATGGAGGTGATGATGGGACCCACTTTCTCCATCGATGTCTCCGCCTCGGCCGAGTTCGTCAGAGATCGCGGCCTTCTTCCACCGCCGCATCCCCTGCCGGAGATGGCATCTGCCGCCGACACCGGCGGGTCTTCTCTGACCGATGTTCCGGTTCGACCCGGAAGCGGGATATGGTCGGGGCAGACGGCGGAGTACTCGTCGGAGAGTTCATCGTCGATCGGATCGCCGGGGGACAGCGAGGATGACGACGACAGTGGAGAAGACGACACCGTTTCGTCAAAGGAACGTCTTCAAGGATTGGGCTCTTTGAGCTCTCTCGACGATTCTCTCCCCATCAAGTGAGGAAGTTCATCTTTGTTCATTTTTTTTATCCTGCAACGTTTTCACGATTTCCGCCATTAATCACCACAACTTGTGGTTTCACATCCATAAGAAGGCACCGAGCTTTTGCCTGTTTGGTAGAAATCGATCTACTTTGCCATTGTTTTTGGGGCGAAAAGTCCATGGGCTGATGCGATTTATGACGCAGGAGAGGGCTATCGAATCATTACAAAGGGAAATCGAAATCGTTCGGGAATCTGGGGGAGATAAGCAGCGTGAAAGAAGTGGAGAAGCAAGAGAATCCACTGAACAAGAGACGAAGGTTACAGATCTGCAACAAATGGTCGAGGAGATCGTTCTACGCATGGCAGAACCCTAAATCCATGCCTCTTTTGCCGGTAAACGAGGATGAAGAAGAAGATCTGAAATCCGGGATAGACGAAGCGAAATCGTCCAGCGACGAAGAGGGTCCGAGAAAATCATCGTTTAAGAGCACCAGAGGTCTCAAATCACGGAGCTGTTTTGCTCTCTCAGATCTGCAGGAGGAGGAAGATGACGACGACGATGATGAATAAAATAATTCCATGATGATGATGATTTTCTTGTCCATAGTTTTTTTTTTGTTTTAATTCGTCGCTCCAATTTTCATGTTTTTTTTTTCTCTATATTGAAAATTTTATTTTGTCTACCAAGAAAAAAGAGAACAACACTAGTGTATGTCCTTTTCCATGGCTTATCTGTTTTCTTATCATATATTTTTTTTTTTCATTTTTTTAGGTTTTTATTTCGCAACATTATCGGTTTTCTTTTTACTTATTAAAATTTAAAAAATTAGAAAACAATATTAGTGTGAATTAATAGGTACGTCCCACCTTCCTTCTTATCTACCTCGTATAAAAGACATTTATACCCCTTATCCTCTTCGGCTTCCGGTTTTTACAAATCACTCCCCATATTTTTATATCTTCACGGTGTCGCCACGTGGAAAAAAATAATTACACTCCATCACTATTTACTAATATTGTGTGTCAACCATAATTTCGTTGTTTTTAACGTACATTCTTTTATAGTGTGGATAATTTTGTTTTAATGAAATTAACAACGATATGGTTGCATTATACAATTTGGTGTTAATGAAATTTACCCCTCTCGGCATGTTTTGACAAATTTCGTTCATTTACATAAGCGCCGCCGTAAGTTTTGATTAGTTACCGAAGTGCATTGTTATTATTATATTTTTTTTTTCCCACAATTGCAATTTTAGTAGAATAAATAACACCACTTGCCTTCGTGTTGGCTGGTTATGGTGACAAAACCATCAACCATGCTCTAAAAGTTACCAAATTGATTATTATAAAATTAAAACAATTGTTAAGAGTTAATAGAATTATGCTTATATAATATAATTTAAATAAAAGTCAATTGATACACGAGAATTGAGAGAATTTAAATAATCAAGCTAATTGAGACAAGGAAATTGAGCTTACCCATTTGAATTAATTTTAAAAAACAATTAAAATTTATAGAATATAGAAACAATAATGAATCTATTAAACTACAAGGATTAAGTCTAGTTACATTTAAATGTTTTTTTTTTAATTGAGCCCACCAATTGTATGGTGTGCAGTGCACCATTCATAATCTCAATCCTTGAATGAGCGCTAGTGTGGTGTGATTACACACAATCTCATAAAGAAAGAAAGAAATAATAAAATACCATGAATTTAATTTTCGAGTTTGTACCATAATAGTTTTGTTTTTTTAATTCTTGATAAGATAGCCCTTGTTGTTCTGAAAAGCCATTTTTTAATTTTAAATTGAATTTCAGTTAACTATATTGTTTTTGTACTGCAATGATTAAAAAATAGGTTTTAAAACAAATAACAAATTACAAAGTTTTGTTTTCTCAAATACCTTTGAAATCCAATCTGATATATCCGATTGTACTATATTATTTTCTTAAGTGATTTCGTATAATTTATTATCTCCACTTGTTCTATAGTTTAATTATATACACACACACAACGAAGTTGCCTTTTTGACGTGGAGATTTGACTAGCATTTAAAAATAAATTTCTACATCGATTACTGTTAAATATATATATATATATATATATATCAAACGCGATATAAATATTTAAAATACGTACAAATAAGCCAACAGGTGTTGACATGCAGTGAAATTAAAGAACACGTAGGAAAAATTTGGGATTCTTCACACTTCTTTCTAGGTTCTTCAGGTTGTGCGCCACGTGTTTATCATGCAAGTTCCACCTTTCTGAAATTTGGTCATTGTTGGGCCGAATACAGGCTCATATTAATTTTAATTGGGCCGGTCATTGGCCCATTTAGGGTCCATTACGATGATCTTGTCGAGCGTGTAAAGAGTCCAGGATACCTGTGTATCAAAATGGCGTGCGCCGTCTCCGGAGGAGCGATTCGATTCCCATCCCGTCTTCTTCATCGCCTCTCGCACCCGGTGCTGCCAAGTAGGATTCGTCGTTCTACGATCTGGTTTCGGAATCGCCGGCGAATCTCGACGACGTGGTCGATGAATCCGGTCGGTGGAGGAATTGATTCTGGCGAAAAGGCCTCCCGGAGCGATGGAGCTGCGGCGGCGGCAGAAAATGTGGACGACGTTCTGGTGCAGTACGTGGTTCTCCGGAGAGATCTGATCGATTCGTGGCCGTTGGGGAGCGTGCTTACGCAGGGATGCCACGCTTCGGTGGCTGCGATATGGTCGCACAAGGACGATCCAAACACGGTCCAGTATTGTGATCCACAAAACATTGATTCGATGCACAAGGTAGTAGGAGAAACCCTAATTAAGTACTTTGCTGATTTTTGAATTATGCGGTGAAAATGGTGGCGAAATGATGTTTTGAATAGGTGACTTTGGAGGTGAAAGGGGAGACGCAGATGATGAACTTGTCGGAGAAGTTGAAATCCGGAGGAATCGCTCATAAGCTCTGGATCGAGCAGCCGGAGAACATTGCGACGTGCATCGCCACAAAGCCTTACCCTAAATCTCAAGTCTCTTCGTTCTTCAAGAAGCTGAAGCTTTGCAAGTGATTTTCTGAATCCCCATTGTTAAAAAACTCCACTCTTTCATCTCTTTCGCCACAACACCTTTTTTTTTAATCAGATTCTAATCTGTGCAAGTGATTTGTGTTCCAATTCACCATTGCCACAGCCACAGCTCTTTTCTCTCATTCGATCACTAAGCTGCTGGATCAGATTTTCAAATCGTGATTCCTGGTCGACAGTTCCAAACTTATACACAAACCTCAAGTGATAATTCCAAAAACCCTTGGTATCTCTATCAGCAATCAGATCCACACAAACAGCGAGAGAAACCCAAAAGAGAAAACACAATCCTACACCCTTAACATATATACAAACGGCAAGCCAGAAAGTCAGAGCACCGGGAACAGAACCCGAATCAAAGCACAGCATCAAATCAAACAGCACTTGTTTGTTTGTTGGTCCTAGACTTGGGGATCGGTTTCAGTAACGGACGACGAGACGTCTGCCGCAGATGGAGCAGATATGGCGTCGCTTGGATTTGAAGTATAGAGGGACGAAGCAGAGCCTCCACTGTGTTTCCACGTCCACCGCCTGAACCGCCCCCGGAGCCTCGTGCCGACCGATCACTCTCTCGTCCTCGTCGCACACGAACACCAAACACATCCTTCCGGATTCCTTTCAACTCTCCTCTTCTCCTTCTTCCAATTTTGTTAAAACTCTTTATATGGATGATGTGTTCCTGAGATTTTGGAGTGTCTCTAGAGGGTTTTAGCTTTGAAGCAAATGCTTAGCGGGTAAGATACGGAGATATAGTTTGACCGAATTTTTCGGGCTTAATCTTACTTTTAGTTTTTGGTTCGGCGAATATTTGTCCATTTTGCTTTAATTTTTTTTTATTATAATCAATTGATGCCTAGTTTAACATAAAAATTGGATATAGTTTTTTATACCAAAAAATATAAATTCGAAAATGATGGAATCCGAGGTGAGTCGTGTATTTTTCTATTTGGAAGTCATCTCAAAACCGTGTTGAATCTGATTCCCGAATCTCATAAAGGGAGGAGACCATTTTGGGCCCAAACTTAGACAAAAGGCCCATTAGACCCAATATTTGAAGCCCAAGGCCCAAATGAGTCGAACGTAATCTCCACCATATCTTTCTTTTCTTTTACCCGCCAATGAGTTGCTGCCTCTTTCACAGTCTAGCTGCTTCTCTCCGGCATTATCCGTCTCCATCAAACTCATCATCAATGGCCGATGGGTAGTTCTCCGTTTTCCCACACAATGCATCCGTCTCCGGAATTCTACGCTTCCGATTTCTCTCTCCGTCTTCCACCTTCTCTCTCCGCCTCTCCTCTGCGGCGGCGTTGTCACAGGATATCCTCCTACCGCTCCCGGCGTCTCAACCTCAAGCCTCTCACCTCCAGAATCGTTCTCCTCACGCGCCGCCGTCAGCTAGGCCAGATCGTGGAGGAGGTGGAAGCCGCTAAGAGACGATATGGGAAGCTGAACACGATCGTGATGAACTCCGTCGTGGAGGCTTGTGTTCACTGCGGAGACGTCGATTTGGCTCTTCGGATGTTCTGTGAGATGTCTGGTCCCGGTGGGTGTGGCGTCGATGATGTTACTTATGCCACTCTTCTGAAGGTGATCCTCGGGTCTTTTCTCTTTTTGGTGAAATTAAGGATACTTTGGGTTTGATTTTGGGGTTGTTTGTTTCGTGTCCAAATGCTGGAATCCGTGGAGCGTGGAACCGCTGTCGGGAATCCGAAGCTGTCGGCATCTCTTATATATGGTCTGCTTAATGCTCTTATCGATGCAGGTAAACCACTTGAATCCTATTATGTTTCTCGTAGCTAATTGCTTCTTGAATGTGTTCTTATATCAGAATGCTGCTCATCAGGATGCGTTAATATTTTATTCGTGGAGTAGAATTTCTAGGCAGAAAGTTGATGTAAAGGCACTTGATCTTGCTTTAGTGCAGGAGATTTACGTCGTGCAAATGGTCTGCTTGCTCGTTACGGGTTTTTGCTCCGCGAGCGTGGCAGCCCCTCGGTTCTCATCTGTAACTTGCTGATGAAGGTACTTCTCAACGTGTCTTGACAGCCTGAGTGATACGTATTCTTGGTTGAGCTATCGTAGTTGGAGGTAGTTTTGAGGCTTTCGATGGCATGACAGGGATACATTAACACGGGGTCTCCACAAGCAGCAGTGAATTTGCTCGATGAAATGTTGCGTCTTGGATTGGAACCTGATAGGCTCACCTACAATACCTTGATCCATGCCTGCATCAGGTCTGAAGATTTGGCTATGGCTATGAACTTTTTGGAGGAAATGAAGGTCGCATGTGTGTACTTGAAAGGCCAGTTTTTAGACTCCAAGTGTTACTCAAAGTAGTACTGGGGTAGTGGTTAGATTGTGTTAATCATATGCCTTGATCAATTTATTTCAGGAGAAGGCAAAGATGTGTAACGATGACCGACTTCGCCCAGATATTATAACCTACACCACCTTAGTAAAGGTGAACAAGCAATCTACTGTTCTATCGTCTATCTAATCTGTGTGCAAGAAGGGACCTAGATGCAGCTCTTTGCTGTCTGTTTCCCATGTATGCAAGTAATGAGTTCGGGTGCTGTTTACTTGACTGACTGGTAATGATTTCTTGTGACAATTTTTTCCCTGTAGGGATTTGGGGATGCCAAGGATCTGTTTTCGGTGCAGAATCTATTTCTGGAGATGAAATTGAGTGCTGATTTGTTCATTGACCGGACTGCGTTTACAGCTGTAGTTGATGCCATGCTTAAGTGTGGTTCAATGAAAGGTATGTAGTTACGACTTCAACCATAGTCTTTCGGGATTTTTCAATGAAGAAGCTTACGAGTAACTCTGTTCTAAAGCAATAAGGTCCTTGTTGAATACGTTCTCAGGGGCCCTTTGTGTTTTTGGTGAAATATTAAAGAGGAGTGGTGCAGATTTGGACTTACGACCAAAGCCTCACATGTACCTGTCTATGATGCGTGCTTTCGCTGTCCAAGGAGATTATGGCATGGTTAGAAATCTGCATGTTCGCATATGGCCAGATTCATCTGGAGCCATCTCAAAAGCAGTTCAAGAAGAAGCTGATAACCTTCTCATGGAAGCAGCTCTAGGTGCTGGCCAGGTACTAAAGAATTAGTAAATGCTTCGGGGTGTAGGGTCTTTTGGTACAGATGATATCATTGCTTTATGTGTCTGGAATTTTCTAATAATATCTGGTAGTGTTGATGATAATTCTGGGTCTAATGAATCCTTTCCTGAATTATTTAGCTTCATGAAGCCCTTCGGATTCTTTCAAGTATTGTTACAAGGTGGAAAGCGATACAGTGGATGACTAGGGCAGGCATGGTATGTTGCGAATTTCAGCCAGACCTTACATAATTGTTTGTGACATGTGCCCATTCTTTGGAGAATGGGATCTTGATCGATTTCCTTTCAGCAAAGTTTAGGACCACTGGGAATTCAACTTATCTACTTAAACTATTTCTTAAAATGCAGGCTGCTGTCCGCATTGAGGCCCTGTTAGGATTTTCCAAGTCCATCTTGAGTCCATACCTACTCAGTAAGGTACATGTTCCTGCATTTCTCTATTTTTGTCTATATCCTCTTGAAATTTTGGCAAACTGGGTTGTTCTATGTGTACTTCCCTCGTGGCTCTTGATTGTTTCTAAAATGGAGACGTGGTTTGGGTAGTTTGACCCCAACCTATTGACTCAGGTGACACCAAGCGAACCAATAGAAAGTGTTATGATTCCATTTGAAGCCACTCGGCCGTTGCTGGGCACACTGCAGCTGAAGGAAGTGGTTATGCGGTTTTTCAGGGAGCCTGTTGTGCCTATCATAGATGACTGGGGAAGCTGCACGGGTCTTTTGCATCGAGAAGACTGCAAGAGTGTAAGTTAACCTTGTTCTGTAATAACAGTAGGTTCTTTGCTTATATCATAAAAAAATATGAGCTAATTATAGGGTATTTGCACATTGCTCAACCGTTTGTAGCTGGATGCCCCATTGGCAACGATGATGAAAAGCCCTCCTCCATGCGTGACTACGACAACATCGATAGGTCGCGTGGTGGATCTTGTTCTGGAAAAGAAGTATAAGATGGTCATAGTTGTAAGATGCGGCAACCTGTATGGGAACGGTTACAGTTCCAGAGCAGTTGGAGCTTTCACGAGGGACCAATTGTATCGATTGCTTGAACCTGGACAAAAGCTTCTCTAGCGGATGTAAGTGATCTCACTTCTTTATATTAGTATGCGCTTTTTTGGAATTCTAGTCATGCCGTTGCATATTGCGATCTCTTTGGGTTAAAAAAATGTTGGAATTCACACACCACACATATACACAGTTCCAGTCCGTTCAAACAGATGTGCAGTACCGATGAAACATCGTTTTGTTCGCATTCAAAATTGAGAAAAGAAAAAACATACAATTCATTCTTTGGAAATTGGACGCTGTACCAAAAGAAGAGAAAATGAACAAGCAAAGGATGAAAGAGAGGGAACATTAGCCGCTGATGGATTGATGTTGGAATGCCCTTCTGCCTCACAAGCATTAGGAAGCTAATAAAAAGTCTTTTTTTCTGTGTTTGCCTGTGCATATATATATATATATATATATCACTTGGATGCAGCAGTCTCATAGTCAATAACGGTCTCAAAGGCACCGACAAGTGCCTTGACTTTGTTCTTCCTGTTTTCAAGTAACTTACTTGCCGTCTTCTCTATCACGTCATTGTAGGCTGATGGAGATTCCTTCTTCCCTTGCACCACTTGCCTCTTTGTCGCCTCGGGTGACTCTGCTACCACTTCCTTTGTTTCTGATGTTTCTTCTTTGACATTGCTGCTTTCAGTTTCATTCTCTTGTTCTGTGTCGTTTGCTTTCTCTTCTTCTGTACTCTCTTTGAGACTTGCAGCTTCCTTCACGTCAGTGGCCGCCACTTCACCACTGCTCTCCTCCATCTTGTGTTCATCCTCGTTGTCTAGGGTTTCCTCGGGTGCTTTCGTTTCCTCTATTTGCTCCACTGCTTTATCCTCATGTATCTCTTCTCCTTCTTCTTTGGTGGCATCAGGGCAATCTAAAACAGGGGATGCATCCGTTTGATCACTTCCCTTCTTCTCTTCACTGGATTCATTGGATTGCTCTTCTTTATCTTCTGACTTTGGTTCTTCTCTATCATAATCAGACACCACTCCTGCATCGGTCTCAACCTTCACGATCTCCTGTTCCTCCTCGTGAGGAGATTCTCGGGCGATTTCCTTCTCTGAAGTTTTCTTTGAATCAATCAAAGAAGAACCTTCCTTTTTACTGTGAAAGGAAGAACTGCTAGTGCTCAGACCGCTCTGCATTATGCCCTTTGGACCCGGAGCCACGGGAGGTGATTTCATGGAACCGCCTCCTCTAGGGCCGGTTTTGCTGCCATGGAAAGACGAAGAGCGGCCCGTGATAGGCTTGTGACTGTCTCTAGAAACCGAGGGTCTATCTCGTGGGGACGAGGTAGAAGCAGTAGTAGGGGAAGAGAAAGAAGGAGGATGGTCAAAGGATCGTCGACGGAGGAGCTTGTGGTTGTCGTCGAGGCCCTTTTTCAAGAACTTGACGGGGTCAGGTCTTGAGCTTATTGTTGGTTTGAGATAGTTTGGCAAAGGCTTGTCCGGTTTGTGGTCCGAACCATCGGGGGTTGAGTTGTGTTCTGACGAACCGGGAGGCTTCGGCTTTCGGCCGAGGGATCTGGATCTGGTCAGGCTGCTCTGCCTGTCCGGTCTTCCTTTTGTTGTGCTCGTCGTCGCCATCACGTAGGAATCTACCGACCAAAGAGATGATCACACACACATTCACATAGAGACGGGCTGTTACGTAACAGCGCCCAAAAGACATGCAAGCCAATACTTTGTGGGTTGATGTCTGAATTAAGACTAACAAAATTTTTACAACAACAAGCAAGAAAACACAAGTACAAAATTGAAAAAGGGTCCGCGGATGGATCATGGAAAATGCAAATCAGAGAGAGAGAGAGAGAGAGAGAGTACCTGAACGAAGAACAAAGGAGAAGGGTGCGTTGAAAGAGGTTTGGATTCAAGAGAGGAGACGTGTATATCAAGGAACAGAAAACCCCCCCGCACCTTAAAGATAGTGGAGAGGAGGAATTAAATTAGGGTTTCTAATTTGGAATCGTCGTTACACGATTCCTCAACGGAGCTTAAATCACGCTCTTCTTCTTCTTGGTGGTGGAGGCCATGAACCCATTAATCTTTTCCCCTAACAATAAAACAAAAAAAGAAAAAAGGAATTTGAATGGTCCAATGATCCGATCCTCTCGGACAACCGTTGACTCGTGTTTTGAGCCTTTCAATTATACACATCTCTTGCGTTCGTGCCCGTGTGTGATATGACAATGTTCCCACGTCAGTACCACCATCATTTTTATCCTTCCCGTTTCTGTTTTAATGGAGGAAGAGTTGCTCCGTTGAATCAATATTTAATAAACATTCCGTTTCTGATTTTAAATTTATTATTAAACTTATAATATATATATTAAGATTGGAAATGGTCATGGACCGTCTCAACTTCTAGGCGGCTAATCTTTGAACGCTTCCACCTCGATACGACATGTCACCCACTTATTCTATTTGTTTTCTCTCGTTGAACTCTTATTATATTCTCATTATAATGCCAATTCTTTTATCACCTTTGCGATAGAGTTCGACGTATGTCCCCCTCCTAATTCAAATCACCCGGGTTAGTTTTCGATTCTAAAATTAATTTAAACTTTGGTTTAGGATATCCGATTATAATAAAAAAAATCATTCTGCTAAAATTAAATTGCGTATGTGTTCAAAGTGTAAAAAAAATTTAGAAATCGATTTAACTTTTTCGATTGATATCACGTTTTTTTCTTCTGTTGTAGTAGTGATCGATATTAGACTACGAGAATCGGGATTACAATATTGTTGCCGAAATACTTCTATTGAGAATTATAGAGAATTAGACTTATATGAAATAAAACTTTATATTATTCATTCAATCAAATAATATATATATAATTAAACTTAATCCTATTAAAAAATTATAAACTAATCCTATTAAAAATATAATTTTATAATAAATAACTCTAAGTCTCTATAATTTTTAGTAACTTCGATTTCTAGAAACAAAATATCTTACGATCGATTGATTAACCTCTTGCTAAATTGATTTCTGTTAACATTTCAATTTTATAAAAATATTTGTTAAAAACACCCTTATGTGATGAAGGGTCTTCATATATATATATATATATTCATAAATTTTGTAATTTAGAGTTTCGTTCGTCTCGTCCCGAATTCGAACTTTAAATTGAGAAGAGAAGTATAAATTCTAACCACATAATTTACTGTCATTCGAGATTAATTTGGATGTCCAGAATACCCGATTGCAGAAAAAAAACAATGGTCTTGGAGTGGTACACATGATTCATGCACGGAACAAGATGGAATGTGTTTTGATTGTCTGCCACTTGGCCCACGAGACGCCGCCCTTACATTCCCCCTTTTCACCATTTATTTCGTCATTATTTTTTGTAATCAACACGGACCGATTTTATTTATTTTTCTCATCCGTGGGTGTTTGTTTACTCTTTTTTTTATATATATATAAAATGGCATCATCCCTTAACCGTCGTGGCGTAAAACCAACGTAACACACATTTTAAATTGGATATAAAAGACAATGAAAACATGCATGGGATAATAATTTCCAATGACGTACGTTGGCTATATTTTGTGCTCGAAGATATCGCCCGAGTCATTTGCCAAATTCACACGGATCACATGTTGTATATCGGTTATGCAAATAATAAATAATCGATAATTAAATACAATCAGAAAAAAATATATATACCCTGATTTTTTTCGCTGTTAGTTATTATCTTACATATTAATATATCGAAAAAAATAAATATATATAGTTAATTCAGTATATATATATATATATATATATTGAAAAAAAGAAAACATATGGCGTCCGGACCAAACCATATCCGAACATGGTTTCTTTGTTGCAACCTGAAATTATACGGATAAGCTTCACCACCTCACGTTTGGTCGTCCTCGCGCGTGCTTCTCACTCTCCTCCGTTTCCCACAAACACATGGGCCCACTTTTACTTTGGGCCCATTTTGCTTTCCTTCCCCCTTTATACGTTCTTTTACATTAATTTAACAGAATACTAAAACACCTTCTTTAATTTTTTTTTAAAATTATCTATAATCACTTGATCAAAAAACCTAAAAATTTCTATTAATTAATCACGTTTTTTTTGGCCCACTAATTTACATCATAACTATTTTATCTATTTATTACAAAAAATATAAGATTTAGATTTATTCCCCTCTTTTTACGCAAAACATGGACGATACGTACGGCTTTTCAATATTTAACAATTAGTTAATCTAATCTTTTATTTTTTCAAGGAATAAAAACAAAAGGAAAATATATATATAATTAATTAATTAATGATGGGGTAACAGCAACGGCGTCGTTTTGTTAACTCCCCCGTTCCTCCTGGTATTCTTCCTTCCGCTGACTCCGACCTCGATGCGTATCTCAGCCGTCCATCTTGAACTTCTGTGAACCAAACCCAAAATCAACGGCTCAGATCTTTCCGACCGCCTTTTCGCCCTTCCTACGCCACTTCCCCTATTCCCCCGTGTTTAACTTTATAATTCTGCCGAATTACGTCTTCTCCATCGCCTCTCTCTCTCACGTCTCTCTCTCTGGTCATCGTCCGTTGTTTCTTCAAAGACGGCGGAAGAAAATAGCTCCGGCATAGGTATCGCCGGAGATTCCCTTTTTCCTCTCCTTTTCCGCGCTAGCTAGCTTTGTTCTTTTGATCATCGCGAGCCGATGGTTGTTTTTCCTTTGATTTTTTTTTTTAAATTTCTTTGTTCGTTGCTTTTTTTGGTTTAGGATGAATTTGTTTTTGCACCAGTTTTTCCAGGTTGTTTGATGATGAAGTTGGTTATTTTCGCAGTTTGATTCTGGGGCTCTCTCGTTTTCGTTTCTTCTCCATCGTTTCGTTTCCTGTTTTTGTTGCATCAGCTTTTCTGCGATCTTTTCCGTGATATGTTCCATGTTTATATGCATACATACGCACGTATATATGTGTAGAATCTGGTGGGTGATCATAATTCGAGGAAGAGATTCTTTAATTATTTCTTGCTGTTTTAGTGGCTTACCGAGCTATATATATGTTCTCTGTTTGGTTTATGCGAGTGAATAATTTCTCTTTGGAGAACCTGAAATCACGGGAAAAAGGGTCTTTGTGTTTGATGGAAAGCCCGTGAAAATCGAATGGGACCTTCCTTCCTTTTCTCTTGGGTTAATTATTGGTCGTCTTCTCTTTTGTTTTCGTCAGCCTTTGTTTTATTTCCCTCCACGATCACAGCATGTGTTCTTTGTAGCTTATCTTTATGATCCATAAGAGGTGCTTTGCTCTGTGTAATCTTAAATTTCCACTCCCATGTTGCTCCTGTAAGCTTTTGTGGTTCTCCCCTTTTTTTTTTTCTTTACATGCGTAATAGATTTCTATCACTTACTTTGATTGGTGGGGGGGATCATCCTCTATGAAAGCTTTAATCATATCATTGAAGTAATTTACATCGTTTTCATGGGGATTATGTGATATAGTTTTTTGGCCTGAATCACTATGCAGTGGTCTTTGTAGTATGAACCATTGGAACTCTACATGAGGAGTTCAAATTATCTGAAAAATACTCCTTTTAATTGTAGAGAAAGATTTTTCTTATAATCATGGATGAATTTTCGGGTAAAACAACAGTTGATGGGTTGGTTTTGCCCAGAAAAGCAAAAGGTATAGTCTTGCGAGAGAATACAAACAAGAGAGATGATAAGAGTCCTCCAATTTGCAGCCGGATCGGTTGCAGCGCCAGGATAAGTTCCACCAAGAGAACCCAGATTGGCTCTACGGATAACAAATTGAAATCTGCCCGGCCTTCGTTTCGCTCTTCCTCGAATGGCAAGGAAATCATCGGGAGTTCATCTCGACCTCTGAGTGGTTTTAGCAGCACGAAACCCCCCTCCAAAGGCACCAGTAGGAGACAACTCTCTTCTAAATCGGATGCAGATTCTTCAGAGACTAGCAGTAGCAGCAGCAGTGCTCGTGATGAAACCGAAACTTGTGAGCACACCCCTCTGCACGGAAAGAGTAAAGGAGGTACTGTCAGTGTTCGTTCCAAAAATGCTGCCTCCGGGAAAGTTGTGTTGGCTGAGGGAGGGAGCTCAAGTAGAGGAACCAGCCAGAGGTACAATCAGGGATCTGAATTGTGTACCCGAGATTCTTCTCCCGGACCTTCTATTTCTTCATCTTCTGGTAACAGTGTGCAAACTGCGCATGTCAATCTGAGCAGGCATGGTTTGAGAAACCTGCGATGCCACTCCATTTCTGATGTTGTTCCATCTGATTCAAGCGCAACAAGGAGAGTCAACGTATTTAGAAAGAAAAATTCCAACGGAGAGAACAGTTCTTCTAGCAGGGGGAATAAGATGACCAGGCCGGTGCCTGAGGGAAGGAATCAGAATTCTCTTCATGGCATATCCGTTTCAGATTCTAGGAGGCAAAGAAACCTTCTGACTAGTATGGATAATAACAGTGGCAATTCAGTAACTACAAGGAGATCAGCTGGTTATTGTGGTAGGACAGCGCGGCTCGGAGCTGATGTATCTACTGCTGCAATCATGCAGGTGCAACAGCCTGCAGCTCCAGCTGATCATAACTCTTCCTCTTCTGCAGAACTTTTATTTAGCCCTTCAAGTAGTTACAGTAGGCCAAGCAGTAGCAGTGGCTTAAGTCGTTATGACATGAACGGAATTGCAGAGGTTCTTGCCATATCCTTGCCCTATGATGTTTTTTTACCGACTTGACATGTTCACATGCTGTAATAGAATACTATTTTGACTCCAATACAGGTTTTGTTGGCGCTGGATAGGATTGAACAAGATGAAGAACTCACATATGAGGTGATTAGCAGCTTGGTTCATGTTACATGAATAGTTCTGTTTGAGTTTAGAGTTAGGTGACACTTCTTCTGCTTTGCTGTTTTTTTTTTCCTGCAGCAACTGGTTGTTCTTGAGACCAATCTGTTCTTAAGTGGTATGGGCAGCTTTTATGATCAACATAGGGATATGAGGCTCGACATTGATGGCATGTCTTATGAGGTTTGTCTCGTCTCTTGTATATTATTGTTCTTGAGACCAGTCATCAGGTTGTTTTACCAATTTAAAAACATTGGCTTTTGGTTCTAGACTGTCAAGAGTCAGAACCAGCATTCAAGTCTCTGGCTTTCTGCTATAACAGCAAAACAAGAGCTGGAAGCTTTTGGCTTCTAGCTTTGAGTTTTGTGCCCTTTTGCCAAAACTTAATGATATTATTGTTTTGTTCCCTTTTCTGAAATAATGGAATTATCGTCAAAAGATTCTTTTCGCTAATATATCTAACCATTAATGATGAAAAAAAATTCTCTCTGTGGACATCTCGCAGGAACTGTTAGCGTTGGAGGAGAGGATGGGTACAGTGAGCACTGCTCTAAGCAATGAAGCATTGTCGAGAAGCCTCAAGACAAGCATCTATAAGGCAACAGATGAAACCGGCGGCTCTTGTCTGGATAAAGATGATGATATCAAATGCAGCATCTGCCAGGTCTTTTCCCTTTCTCTCTTCTCTTTACTCTACATTTGGCCTTAATTATTTTCCCGGGCATTCGTGATTTTGTGCCAACATAAATCAGATCCAGCTCATATAGATCTTGCAGTCAATGTACTTCCCTCGGATGTTAAAACCCGCGTGTTCTAGTATCTAACATCGAGAGCTGGTCTGAAAGAGATGAAGTGAATTTGGTGATTATAGCGATACCAATAAGGCTTTGTGTGATGCAGGAAGAGTATGTGGGTGGGGATGAATTAGGGTTTCTGCAATGCCAACATAAATACCATGTGAGCTGCATTCACTCATGGCTCCGGATGAAGAACTGGTGCCCTGTCTGCAAAACCTCTGCTGAATCTCCGACACAGCAGCAGTTGCAGCGTTCGTGATCTGAACAGATTCATTTTTATTTGTGTTTTCAGTTCCAAGATGATGGGAGCACATACGAAATCCATCAACACTTCGTCCGAATTTGCAGTTCTCCATCGAAGTGTTTCGTCTCTTCATCATCTTTTGTCTCTTTTTTGTACATACGAATTCACCGTTCTTTGGCGCATCTGAGCTCCGACAATACACAATAATACACAGATCCCACTTCACATGTTGTGTAGAGTTCAATCCGGTTTCTGTTCTTTCTTTATACAGACTTCAACTTTCTTTATATAGACTTCAACTGGTTCTCGCCTATCGATAGATAGCAGGTACTAAAGTCGGTGGACCTGAATTGAATCATGACTATATAAGCTATTCTGATATTAAGATTTGATATAGAAGAAATCGTGACAAAAAGAACCCAAAATGCTAAAGAAAGACCTTGATTTGGTCCTTTTTCGATCTATCCCTGAAAGACTAGCTACAATCGCTATTGCCCTCCACAGCTATAACACCAGTACTTTCAAGCCCTCCCTTCCCTATCAAAAGACCGTCGACTTATACGATTTGTAAACTAGTATCTAAAAGGTGAAGAGATTGGTTACATAAGGCGTGGAGATTCTTGTTTGTTCGGATTATTTTGTTTTTCGAATGAGGCTAGGGGAGATAAATTCCTTCCAACTAATAAAGAGATACTACTCCTGTCTTCCCATTCATTCCCAATGGATTCTTCTTCTTACTAAGAATTGAACAAACCAAGTTCACTTGTAAACAAAACTTTCTTTAAAGAAAAATGGTCTCTCAGGTTGGTTCAAAGCCCTATTTAGATAGGGAAAATCTCATTTCATTCGGGTTTTCCTAAACCCTAACGTTTAAGGAAGAAGAAGCTATGTGAAGTAAAAGAAAGAAAGGTCGCCGACTGCTACTAAGAACCTAACACAACTTTTCAAAATTTCTGCATGGTTATGTTTTCATGGAAGTTGGTAATTGGAATCCATAAAATTTAATTATATTTGAACAAAAAGCGGTGATTTTTCTTTATCCCTTATAGAAACTTAAACTTTGGTCCTTGCAGAATTAGAAGATGCATATACGTTTACAAAGTTTAGAAATTTTAAAATAAATTCTGAAGTATAAAATGAATTAAAGACTTAATTGATGTAAGCTAAACGTCCAAGTTACGTGAAAATGGATATAAAATTAAAAATATATTTTGAAGAAAAAGGGGCGCTGACGGGGTGGACCGATTTGACTTTTGAAACCCACGTGACTTTAGGAAGTCCACTATATGAGCCGGCCTTCCAAAACAGCAAACACGTCACGTGGCGCGTGTCTGACACGGCTACGGTACTGCGCGTATAAATATTTGATCCAGCTCGGATAATTATCCACGTGATCTTCCCACCAAATATTTCGGCTTTTGGTTTTAATGAAGCGACGATTACAAAGGCGCTCTCCCACGTATATATCTATTAGAAGACAAATCTCATATGGTATCTCAATTTTATAAAATATAATAAATAAATACCTAAATTTTTAATTCGATGCAATTAATATTTGAAATATTAAAATATTTTAAATTAATATCTTAGATATCAAAATATTTTAAATCAACTTCAATTCTAACGATAATATATAAATTAGATGTTAATTTTTAACATAAATAATAAAATTTATATGATAATTTATAACATCGATTTTGATAACGATATATAAATTAGATGTTAATTATAATATAAAAAATAAATCAAGTTTATAAATTAATCTCGATTTTTATAATTTAAGATATCTATTTTTGAAATATTTTATTTAAATATCAATTTGATATATCAATTAGATAAAATTAAAAATTAAAATATTTACTTAACATATTTTATAAAATTGAAATATTTATATAAAATTTTCTGTTATTAAAAAATATTTAAATTCAGGAATGATCAACAAATAAAAATTTAAATAAAAAATTTAAAACCAATACACCATAATTATCCATTCTTAGCCTTGTAAACATAGTAAATTAACAAATGAATTCGGTATCATTGACAAGGGAAAAAAGCAAAAAAATAATAAAAAATAAATAGAGCAATCATTTAATTTTCCAGAAACGTTTGGTATTACAAAACATTACAAAACAAAACTGGGACTAACTCAAATCTAATCTCTGGTCTGACAACCGCAACAATAACCAGCGGCCTTAACCGCAGCCGCAAACGCAAACGCCCAAAACGTGGGTGTAAATTAGGTCACTCATGGATAATTCTAGTAACTTTGCCCATAGCGACAGTTCTCCCCAAAGACCTAAGGAAAACTCTTCCAAGCGCTCGGCTCTCTGAGAATGTCTCCACACAAACAGCTCCTTGTAGGCAAACCTGCAGTTTTCATAACCAAACCACCACCCCAAAAAAAAAAAAAAAAAAAAAAAAATCTCAGATAGATTGTGTTTTCATGTTCCATTCATTACAAAAGTTCAGATCCTTCACCTCAAGAACTGCGCTTTGTTTCGCAGTTAGACAACGAGGTGACTTCTTCATCACCTCCCCAGTTTTAGGATCAAGCAATGAAACAAGTCTCACTACTGTGGCTGCTTCCTTTGCATGGTGTACATGAAACTCCAACTGATCATTTAGCATGAGAAAGATTAAAAAATCCGTGAGGAGAGATCGAGATGGACCAAAAAAGGGAGTTAAGAGATCGAGGGCTCGGGAGATTTTTACCTGGGAGCCGATCAGAATCGGGCTTGCGCCTTCCAAGACAAGTATTGTCAGTTCTAAGCGAGTTGCTACTGGTACGGGGAAATCGGGATGGCATAGAACACCCCCAGCAATCACTTGATTTGCATCGATCCCTTGCAAAGTTATGGCTACGTTATCTCCAGCTCTAGCGACGGTACAAGCCCGAGAATCGCGCTCAAGAGACCGAGCTGTCCCGACATCTCCCGATGGCATGACTAATATCTACAAGAAAGTTCCAGTCATGTCATCCGTTACAGCACAGCATATTGATGGAAACCCGAAACTTTGACCAAAAAGTATTTCACAAGAAAAGAAAATTCGAGACCCAATAGACAGATTACCCATCCAAACCCAAATGTTAGCATCAAAATCTCTAATTTCCCTCCCATCTACATGTTACCTCTAGTAACACGAAGCCGAAGCCAGAAAATAGAAAAGTTACAAAAAACAATATTAGTTGGAAATTGAGGTGTTGTCAATGGAGTTTAGGGTCTATCTCAAATCTGACAAAGTCAGGTAGACATACATACATTTATGCAGTAGCACACAGGATAATAAAAATAATTGAGCAGTGAAACTTTTGCAAACCTTAGAACCAGGCCGAACGGCTCCAGCCTCCAGTTTGCCACAGGCAGACACCTGCCCTTGTAGACTCGATCTTACAACATCACATATTGGCATAAGCAGCGGCTTAGTGACGTCTCTATCAGGAGACTTGAGAGAATCAATAGCATCCAATAAACTCGGCCCTCGATACCTGTATTTTTAGGTGAAAATTCAACCACTCACTGCTTGTCTGAGATAATACTAAGCAAGTCAATTCACAATCTATTGTTATTTAACGGGAAGAACAGAAAATGGAAGGAAGGTCATAGATCAGAAACTGAAGTGGGAATCTACCATGAGGAGAGACGGCTATCAGATGGAGCTGCAATCAGGTTTTGATTTTCCATGGCGCTTAATGGAACCCATATTAGAGACGAAGCTTTAAACCGACACGAGTGCAAAAATGTCCCAACTTGCTGTTTAATCAAATCAAATCGATCCTTGGAATATCCCACAACATCCATCTTGTTGACTGCCACTACAACCTGGTCGACTCCAAAGCCTCTCAGAACCCGTGCGTGCTCCCTTGTCTGGCCTTTCATATTATCAAAACCAGCTTCAAAAGCTCCACCAGATGCATCTATGACAAGAATTGCAGCATCTGCTTGTGTTGCTCCAGCTATCATGTTTGGAACAAAATCTTTATGCCCAGGAGAGTCGAGCAGAACAACATGGTGTTTATTGGTATCAAAATAAGCAACAGCCACTGTCATTGTAATTCCTCTTTCTCTCTCTTCAGCACTCTCATCCAGTGCCCAAGCATATGCAAAGGACCCTTTGCCCTATTGAGACCAGAGAAAAAAATATTAACAACAAACAGAAGGCAGGTTTCTGAATCTCTTCGTCTCTAACATCTTGAAAATGAAAGATTACCTGTAGCTTTGCTTCTTTCTCATACTTGTGCATTTGCTTCTGTGATATCCTTCCTAACAGATGCAGCAATCTACCAGAGAGTGTTGACTTACCTGAATCTACATGCCCAACCTACAATCAGACTATAATTATCACTAATATATCTTGAAAAAAGATTTAAGAAATAAGACGCTTAAAATCTAAGCAACTCACAATGGCAAGATTAAGTTGTCTTAATGTATCGGATTCTTTGTCAGGAAACATCCACTCCTCTGGCTTGTGCTTAGAATCTGATATCGATCTTCTAGGTCTAACATTACTAGAATTTTCAGCTTTACCAGTCAAAGACAACTCGTCCATTGAACCAGTGAGGCTTTCTGACATCTCCATTGTTTTTGCTGAAGAACTTGCCTCAGAAATATTTTGTTTTGATTTTGTTACAGCTTTGCTTGATTTTATGTCACCAGCACCATCCTTGGAGCAATTGTCATCTTCAATGTTAATGTGTCTACCTTTGGAGCTTGTTTTTGAACCACCACCTCCTCTGTTCTTCAAAGATTTCTGCTCATCTGCACTATCTACTTGCTCCTTCAGCCTCATGCTCGAACCGCCTGAGCTTCATGTGGTTGTGTCCATATTAGCTTCCGTCAAGGTATCGAACTTGTGCAGAATTTGGGATTCATAATCACACCATATGGTTTCGATTCGTTGATAGAACCAATGATATGGATGAGTAAATGAGAGAAAATAACATACGAGTTTCCAGCATATAAGTTAAATACGATAACAAATCCCAAGTTGAAAACAACTACTCATACCTCTAGTACCCATTTTCGAAGGCATTAGTCCATTGGAGACCAAATCATCAGGCGATGGAGAATCAAACTTGAAAGGTTCTATATATAACAAAAGTAAAATGTTAGAAAAGCAATATAAATGAAGAGGCTGATACTATGAAGAGAAAATCAATGGAAAAGGACTGACGATAGCAAAGTCAAATTAAAAACAAGTTCACAACCTATACTAGCAGAAGAATTTTTAAAACTAAAAGCCATGAAGAGTTCATGAAAATCCCCTCGGGCATTTCTAGGAAGAGGTCCCCAGCCCATTACAAGATTGGCATGTTCCCACCTGCATCCCATTTTGGAGTATGAGACAGCACTGGCTCAAAGAGAGACTTTTTCATTTTGGATTCTGTGGACTCTTTGCATATGACTTCAACTGCATAAAACATATCTGTTCTATAAAAACTACACCATCTCTAGTGTAGCAAAATCAAATGTATAAGAAACATGGTCGCTATTTTAGCCCTCAAAGCATATCTAAAATTTTCAACGTGTGGCCTTAAAAACAGACAGAGAGTGGATATAAAGCATAAAGCAATATAAAAAAAACACTTCACGAGAAGGAAGGGCGGATATGATCATACAATACTACTAATGAACCGAATATGGAAGCAAAGGTCGAAAGCAAACTAGTCTTTCCGATTGATAACAATTGGAGAAAAGTAGGAGAAGAAACGAGGTTACCTGTTGTCTTATTAGTAGTTTGATTGCTAACATGGGGCTTCCTCAGTACACCACAAATATCACAAGCAAACATGCTCTCGTCATTATCGTATGTACAGATCGCACATCGCCAAACCCTTTGCTGAGAAGTTTTCTCCTTGGGTTCAGTAACAGCTTCGACTGATGAAGATACAGAGAATATGTTAGTATGAGAGCTAGTTACCGAACACAGGGATCATATGACCACAGCAACATCACGATGATGAGAGATCAATCACCGAAAAGGAGGAGATAAGGAGTCACTTACCATGCTCCTCAGCATCATAGTCATAATCGTAGGCATCATCATCATCAAAACCATCATCATAGTCATAGAAATCGGAGAATCCTTTACGGGGCATCGTTTATAACTGCATAAGGAAACAAAAGCAGTTGGCCTGAAGCACAAAAAATAGCCTATAGACAAAATATTTTCTCGGGAAAAACCAATCCTAATGAAGGATAGAGTTCACTGCCACAGAGCTCAATCTCACAGAAGTTAGTCAAATGCCTCCTAAATTCAGTTGATTGTCCAAAACTTACACTACCAAATTCGCTAGATCTGAAAACCCACAGAAACTTTTAACTGTGAAAATGGCTGCAATTACATTGAATCTCACGGAAGTCGATCAACAGCTTCCTAAACCCAACTGAATTTCAAAACTTACATCACTAGATTCCCTATGGAGAGGAGAGTATCGGAATCTTACAGAAACCTTAAACGGATAACACGAATGCATTTATACTGCATGAATATCACGGAAGTAAATCAACGGCTTCCTGGGCCCAATTGAATTGGAAAGCTTTCACTACCAAAAACCCGAACCCTACAGGGACATCGAGCAGAGAAAACGAAAAAATATCTCGCTACAATGAAATTAAACTTCTGAGTGAAACCCAGTATCGAAATTGATCAACAAAGTGATGCAATAACTCGAATTTCACGGGAACATCAAGCCGAAGGTAGGGATCCGGAGCTAACTGTTCCAATCAATTGAGCAAATCCTTCATCCTCCCAGAAAGAGAACTAATACAAGAAATTGATCCACGAAAACCAAAACCCAATTGGAAGACAAAATGTATTTCCAAAGAAACCCCATTAAAGCTAACCTCTCGGAATCCAGGAAATATCCGCCCCCGTTTCCAGATATGAAATACTGTTCGAAGATGAAAATGACTGAAAAGAGTGAAGAATTACGAGACGACGAAGGAACAAAAAAAGAACGCCTATCGCATCGGTATATGGTGGATTTCAGTATGACGCCGGTAACTATGCCGACGCTAACGCTACTGTGCCGGTTCCGGATCCGGAGATGGTTAACAAAGATGCAAAACCCGAGTATCGAAACATGTTTATCGGGCCGAAAAATATCAATATGGGCCTTTAAATCTTTTGTACCCATGATGTTGAGGGAGAGGTTATTTTCAATTTTTCAAATAGATCAACGATTAAAAAAAGGTAAAACCCAAAAAAAAAAAACCTCCAAAAATATATACAAATAAATCTTCAACTTGAAATACTGTCATTCAATCCCCGAACTTGTAACTTATCACTAAATAAAACCTCGAACTTGTAAATTATTGCTCTAATAAACATTTGACCGGTTTGACCACAATTTCATACTATCGAAAATCTACGTATTAACGGATTGTTGATGTCACCTTATACATATTATCAATTTTAATTTAAAAATTGACATCATTAATCCGTCAATACGTGGATTTCCGATCGTTTGCCGGTCAAAGGTTTATTAGAGCAATAATTTACAAGTTCGAGGTTTTATTTAGTGACAAGTTATAAGTTCGGGGATTGAATGACAGTATTTCAAGTTGAAGATTTATTTGTATATATTTTTGCAAGTTGGAGGTTTTTTTTAGGGGTTTTATCCATGATAAAATGATATTATTTTTTTGGATAATTGGATTAGCACTAATCTCGGAACCAAAAGCAAGTCACGCGATTAGCACATACGCTTTTCTCCCTAATTTTAAATCATTTCATCGATTGAACTATCTAAGTTGGATAATGATATAGACTTTAATTGGTGACCGGTTGGATTCAGAGAGTTTAAGAAGTTAGAGGGTTCGACTGGTTGTACCGCAGCGGTTGCGGTTGCGGGTGGCAGTGTTTTCAGAACGTTTGATAGCGATTATAAATGATTAGTACTGACTGGTTGAGAAGTCGCTGTTGGTAGCGATTGCGGGTGGGTGCAGTTAGAAGTGAATGATTCATTACGGTTGCGGTTGCGTTTTGATATAAATTGTCAAAAAGAATATTATTTAAAAATAATTTTTTATAATAGTTTTAATTAAATTTTTCGTATCATTTGATAAAAATTATTTACTAAATTTATAATAATTAAATAATAAATTTTAAATATAAATATTATCAATTTAATTTATTTTTTAGTAAAAAAATAATTTTATTATAAAAATTATTAAAAATAATCATTATTAAACCTAAAAATTATACTATTGTATTTTTTTTATTAAAATATAATACTAAAAAATAATATCAAATCATAACACTAAACAAAATCATCACCAATATATATAT